GTTCTTATCGATCCTGGTGGAGCCTCCTGCCATGGTCCTGCTAGATTGACATTTCCAATACTGTTGTTACTGTGCACCTGTTTGACTCTCTCTCTCTCTCTCTCTCTCTCTCTCTCTCTCTCTCTCTCTCTCTCTCTCTCTCTCTCTCTCTCTCTCTCTCTCTCTCTCTCACCCCAACTGGTCGAGACAGACGACCACCCACCTAGAGCCGAAGGATCTGTCCTAGGTTTCTGCCTTTTAACAGGCAGTTTTTTTCCTTGCCCTTGTCGCCAAGTGCTTGCTCATGGTGGTACTGTTGGGTCTCTGTAAATAATGTTATAAAGAGTTCGGTCTAGACCTGCTCTATTTGAAAAATGTCCTGAGATAACTTCTGTTATGAATTGGCGCTATACAAATAAAATTTAATTGAACTGAATTGAATTAAAGTAGTTCAGTTACTTTAGAGAGAAGTAACAGTGATGATAAGGGGCATAAGATGGGCCCTTCTTCATTTCTCACTCTTGACTGGACCCCTAAATCTAATAAGAATACCTTTATTATTTCAGTTGTGGGGTTGTTTGTTGAATATTCATAAAGGAATGTATTTAATTAAATTAAATGGTAAGTGGTAAATGGACTTGGACACATTGCATAGATAGGACGGGAGTCAGTTTATGATTACAGTTATGTGTATGGGTTATGGGTATGTGTCATATTTTGGATTGAGTGAGGTAATGACTAGATCTAAATCATGTCATGAATCATCATGTAAATCATGATTTGGACAAGTGGGGAACCTGCCTGAGATAACCTTCCCATCCACCTTACAGCCCATAGTGATCATATAGGAGTGACTGTCTTTCAATCTGTATCTCTCTGTGTGCCACTTAACATTCAGTGTCATCCATTCTCTGCTGTAGCCACTCTTCCTCTGTCTTTGTTGAAAATGATCACTGTGGTTGGGCTCCCCAACTGGTGTGTTTATAAGGGCTCTATCTTTAGACTGGAGCAGCTAAAACACTCCAGTTCTCTTCAGTGGTTGCCATGGAAACGGGAGTGCCAGCCTAACAGCACTAGAGTAATACTGGTGTGTTGAAGATAGGGATCATAATGAAATGATGAAAATGACTACGCTATGAATGTCTGAATGAGTGAGTGGGTTTCCTTGCTCTTTGCATCACTGGTGCTCTTAGATTGGGTTAATCGTGTTAACAAGAGACTTTCAATCACAACTTTTAAGAAGTCCTAGGAATGGAAATGATCAATTAATCAGTTATCTAAGTTACAAACATGTCTTAAGGACATAAAATCCTGGATGAGCTGCAATTTTCTGATGTTAAAGTCAGAGACTCACTGTCTAAAGATATAGTCACTCTAGATGGCATTACCTTGGCCTCCAGCACCACTGTCAGGAATCTTGGAGTTATCTTTGATCAGGACATGTCATTTAATTCCCACATAAAGCAAACCTCTAGGACTGCCTTCTTTTATTTGCGTAATATTAAAAATTAGACACATCCTGTCACAGACGGATTCAGAAAAACTAATCCATGCATTTGTTACTTCTAGGCTGGATTACTGCAACTCTTTATTATCAGGTTGCCCCAATGAGTCCATTAAAACACTCTAATTAATTCAGAACGCTGCAGCACGAGTACTGACAGGAACTAGACAAAGAGATCACATCTCTCCTGTACTAGCTTCTCTGCACTGGCTCCCTGTAAAATGTAGAATAGAATTTAAAATCCTCCTCCTCACCTACAAAGCTCTTCATGGTCAGGCCCCTTCATATCTTAAAGAGCTCATAGTACCCTATTACCCCATTTGAAGACTGCGTTCTCTGAATGCTGGGCTACTTGTGGTTCCTATAGTCTCTAAAAGTAGAACAGGAGCCAGAGCCTTCAGTTACCAAGCTCCTCTCCTGTGGAACCAGCTTCCAGTTGTGGTTCAGGAGGCAGACACCCTCTCCACATTCAAGAGTAGGCTTAAGACATTCCTCTTTGATAAAGCTTATAGTTAGGGCTGGATCAGGTGAGTCCTGAACCATCCCTTAGTTATGCTGCTATAGGCCTAGACTATCGGGGGATTTCCCATGATGCACTGAGCTCCTCTCTTCCTCTCTCTTTCTGCACTCATTCATGTCCCATTAATGCATGTTACTAACTTCATTTCTTCCCCGGAGTTCTTGTGCTTTCTCGTTTCGCAGGTTCTCATGGATCCTGGTGGAGCCTCCTGCTATGGTCCTGCTTGACTACCGACCTAGAGCCGAGGGGTCTGTCCTAGGTTTCTGTCTTTTAAAAGGAAGTTTTTCCTTGCTGCCGTCGCCAAGTGCTTGCTCATGGTGGTACTGTTGGGTCTCTCTAAATAATGTTATAAGGATCTATTTGAAAAGTGTCCTGAGATAACTTCTCTTATGAATTGCCGCTATACAAATAAAACATGAATTGAATTGAATTGAATTGAATTGAAATCTAAATTATATGAAAACTACGCAACAACTCCTGATTATGATCATGTGACACTTGAAAGCTAGCAACAGCTACTGGTTGGACCTAAAAGTGAGATTGTATCACCAGCTTCAAGACGTAAAATCTCAAATTTAAGTTTTTAAATTGAGAAGCAGGATTGGATGAAAAGTTGGTCTTGTAAGGGATTATACAGTCTCCACTAAGAAGACCTTTCAGCCTTGGTGTTTTTGGTGTTTTATCCTGCTTGATGAAAGTAATAAGAGGTGGGGGATCTTTGCTTTAAAATTCTTAACCCTTTAGGCACTGGGTTTTATTTTTAAAAAATACTAGATTTTGACATCTAAATTTCAGAAGGCTCTTGCTTGAAAGTGGTTTGAGATAGAGACAAAGTGTAAATGAGACAAATATTGAGAATGACTCCATCTATTTCTTATGTTGTCTACATATCAAATGAACAGGGAAAAAGTAAATTGTAAGCCAACAGTCGTAAACTAGAACTATTACTACACAACAAAACTCATGTAAACAGTAGGCGTTTTTTATGATTTTTTGATTTTTTTTTTATGATTCTGACACAGTCTGATTTCAGCCTAAGTGGATGTTTAGACTGAATTTGAACAATACAAGGGGCTACATTGGTGTGTAATTATCAGTTGGAGTAACAGATCCATAAGATAGTGTACGGTGGAAATGTTGGAATTTGATCCCCTGAGCCCTCTAAATGGACCTTTCCTAAGTCCTATACTCTGTGCTCCAATGACAGTTGGGCAACCCTCGGTCAGAACCTTGGCCAACTTCCTCCTTTTCTGTACTTAGATATGCTAGGCTAATCTATGTTAAATGGTGAACAGACTTTACTTATATAGCGCCTTTCTAGTCTTTCGACCGCTCAATATGCTGTACACTCCATGCCAGACTCACCCCATTCACACACATTCATACAATGATGGCAGTGCCATGCAAGGTGCTCACCAGAATGAATGAATGAATATGTCCTCGGCCATCAGCTCTTGGTCTCAGATTTCTGGCTTTTCTAACTCAGCTTATCAGGTCGGCTGTCCAGTATATTAAAAAAAAGGCCTTTAGTATCCTGCAGCTCAAGGAATACTGTTCTCTGATGCAAAATCTATCAAAATATGGCGGATCCTATCTCAGTTGATTATATAAATGATTTTGATCAACCCAAAATGGACCAACACAAAAACTCAGAAATGTCAGCAGTGGCAGTATTAGCATTAAACGTATACTGTCATTCTGCCATTATGACTAACATACTGCCTGAAAAGCATGCATTCCTTCTCTCTGGTCTGGCTACCAACCATGTACAAATTTGGAGTGGGGAATGTTGCTATGGCAACAGCAACCTCTCCAATTAAAGCTTTTAGGTAGAGCAGTATTTCAAAAGGAATTCAAGAATGAAGCACCATTATGAAGTTGTATCAGATGGACTGATGGCTTCTGCATTAACATTTGTGGAAGTCTGACAACCTGAATGCTCACAGTGAGTGTGCCTTCCATTGTTAAAGCAAGAGTGTTTCAGCTGTATCATTGGCCCATGCAGGAAATCTGGAGTTGAGTCACAAAGAGAATGACATGCACACATACAGATATATGCCGACTGCTCACTCTTTGAAGCTAAATATGGAGAGGAGTGGTACACTAATTGCATGTCAGCGCTGATGTCTGTGCATGTCCATCATGAGCATGGACAGCTGAACACACACACAGACACACACACACCTATGCACACATATTCAGATAGACATTTCCCCCAACTGTATTTTTAAACGCATTCATACACAGCATCGGGAGCAGTTCAGGGTTCAGTATCTTGCTCAAGGACACTTCGACATATGGCGGGAGGAGCCGGGGATCAAACCAACAACCTTCCGATTAGAGGACGACCCACTCTTCCTCTGAGCCACAGCTGCCCTGTAGTAGGCAGTAGCCTTGGTCTTTACGTGGGACTTGTAGACAATAAGGAGACAGATCTTATCCTTTAAAGGACCAGGATTACACCCTCGCTTCACCCTCCCTTTCCAAGCACGAAGTTTAAACTACGGTGAATGTGTGTGTAGGATTTAGTGGCATCTGGGGTGAAGTTGTAGATTGCAACTAACTGAAACCGCCCGTCTCAACTGAGCATGTAGGAAAAACAACAGTGTCAAGCACAATCTAGAGCCAGTGTTTGGGTTGTCCATTCTTAATAAATAAAACGATTCTTATTTTCAGGTGATAATACACTAATGAAAACAAACCTATGAACATTATTTCATTGCTGACAATAGATCCTCCTAAATGTAACATACCGAACCTTTAAGGTGGTAAGCAAGTTAACAAGTAAGTAATTATCTCTGTATGAGAAATGGATGGAAAAAATAGGACAAATCAAATCTTTGTAGCTGTTTATAGTACTGCAGCATTAATGCAGCATATACCTGTATTGAGTGTGTGTACATTTGTGGAGCAATTGTTTGGTAGAGGTATTTCAGGCACATGGTTGGGCTCTGTGACAGACTTACAGATAAAGACAGAGAGAGAGGGAGAGAGGGAGAGAGGGAGAGAGGGAGGGAGTCTTCCCAGTCAGTCTGAATCTCTCTCAGCCTACACAATCTCCCGGCAACCTTGGGCTCAGTAATGTTGGATACGCTGCGAGGGTAAGCTTTACCTTCCACACAAGCTCTGCTATCACCTGCTCGAGGACACACACAGCGCACATCCGGTGAGTAGACCTCTGTATCACTGTTACTGTTTGCATTTGCCACACTAATGTAGAGCATCTATTTGAAGCTGAGGGCTTTCAAGGGGTAGATACTCTTGTCAGATCACAGAGATTACCACTGCTGTGTTGTTAACTACTCTCTGTACACAGTTTCTTGCATAATTCAGTTACACAGAGGTAACTTCTTGTTGTTACAGGAGCTAAAATGAGACATAAGGGTCTTTTGATTCTATAATCTTTTAATTCCTTTAAGCTGTCGGCTGCTTGCAGCCTCCCAGCAGGGCGGTCTGGCTTTAACTAACAAGTACTTTTACTCAGAGATGGACACACACTCAAGTTGAGGAGCTTATAAAGTCACTATGACATCATATTTTTATACTCTTCAGAAATCACATTTAAAAGAATAATTATAAGAATTATAACAATAAGAATAATATCTTTAGAGTTGACAAGCTGAAAAATTGCATGTATTTGTATGTAATTAATTTATGTAAACAGACACATACGCAACTCCCACATACATGCTGTTGTTCTGGGCTGCCTACAGAAAACCAGTCACCCTGAGCCCTTTCCCTCCCACTCATCCCAGTAAGATCAACATTTCAGCACATGTGGCAGAGCAGGGGAGGGAAGACACTGATGAAGTAGAGAGCTAGTTTTCACACCTTTATCAGGACCTGAGATCACACCGCTGTTATCTTCATACAAAGTACATCCAGTATAAACATGTTCAAGTGACCTATTCTTTAATTTTAGTGTCATAATCCAGGATTTTGTTCAGTACAGATCTTTAGAGCTTTAGTGAATATTTAGGGATGAGCAAGTACACTATTATCTATATCTGTTTAACCAACACAATTATCTGTATTCATATTTGGAGTGGGCGGGGCTTAGATGGAAAGGGGCTATACAGAAGTTGTTCATTTAAGCCTGAAATTGATATGGGTTGATCAAAGTTGCTATATTTATTAGAAATCTATTTACAGAACAGCCTCAGAAGTCAGCTTCAAAGTAATGTTTCTGAGCACAAGAGTAGGAGAACTATTTACAGAAAAAGTTTTTTAAAAAAAGAAAAAATGTTTACGAGTATAGATTTTACTCTGATAATAGGCTTGTACACCTAGAAAGTTCATTATCTGTAACGGATACTCGTTTCAGCAGAGTACTCACTCAACCCTAGGATTTACATTCAGCAGATGGCAACAAACAAAAGTCCAAATGAAAGATAATACTTTCATTTGGACTGCTATAATATATAATAAAAATAAAAGCCATTATGAGGTCAAACGTCTTCTATAAATACTGAAAAGAAAGTGAATACAAAAAGTACACTAAGTTTACATTTGAAAAGTGAACCCTAACCCTGACCATTGTGGCTCACAAAGTCATCTTATTAATGATTCCGGGATGGCACCTGAAGTCGATCAGCTCAACATCTGAGTGTTAATCAAAGGCCAATATCGACTTGGTGAACTGACTTTTACAGACCATGCTGTAGACTAGTAACAGAATCTGCTGTTAGCCTGTGTGCTGTTAATCCATCAGAGATCAGATTAAAGAAGGAGGAGCAGGGATTAGAAATCAGGCGGACCTTGGCTAAATGTCTAGACAGACAGGGAGGTACTGGGGTCATGTCAGTGGGACTGGAGTCTGGCTTGGATCATGGACAGAGCACTGACAGAAAGACCTGGCTGGGTTATTTCCCAAACTCTATAGGCTGAAGAATATGAATAAGGAAGCCTTCAAATGTAAAAAAAAATATGAATTCTCACTGTGAGGTTCTACTGTGGGTGCGCTGTAGGTTTGGTGACAGTCACAAAAATGCAAAGGAGTGGCTCATCTAGATTATGTGATTTTCATGGTCCCGAGACATTCCCAATGTGCAATGCAGTCACTGTAATTGTGATGCATTACTAAGTGTGACACAGTAATCCAAACTCCATACAACAGCTGTCTAGCAAGATTACCAGGACTCCCACACACTGGATGAGATGAGACAGTCCCAAACGGGGCTACCTCGGGAGAAACGGTAAAGCAAAATATCTCAAGGTTTCTTAACGTGTCTTTATGCAGGGATTGGATAGATGTGTGGAGTTATGAAGGTAAGCAGGGTTTGAGCTTTTCTCTCAAGCTTTTTTGTTTCATTCTTTACTTTCATTTTTTGCATAGGCAGCTTGGCTCCCCCAGCTACATGTCCTTGAGCAAGACACTGCTCCCAATGCTGGGCCAGCGCTGTATGAATGTGTGTGAATGAATTAGTTTCCATTTCTGATGAGCAGTTGGCACCTTGCATGGCTGCCTCTAGTGTAAGAATGTGTGTGGACGGAAGACTAAAAAGGTGCTATATAAGTGCAGTGCATTTACCATTTACCATGCAGAACTGAGTGCAATAGCACTGAAGATCTCCGAGAACTGAGTGCAATAGCACTGAAGATCTCCGTGCAGACCCTGTCCTAAAGAGTCCTTCATTTGTTTGATTCAAGTCAAGACCATGAAACCATGCAAAGAGTTCTTGGAGAGAGATTGGGGGCAGAACAGGAATGAATCCAGTGAAAGACTGATGGCAGGCTTTTTGAATGCGGCAGTTCAGAACAGCAGTGACCACTTTTAAAACACAGTCAGATGACATGTGAACTAGTTGTTTCGGGAATACTGAGACCTTAAGTGTCTCTTTCATATCGTCAGTCAGAGGATAAAACAGTAGCAGCCTTTCAATCTAATCTAGTTTCTCTAGCTTACCTTTAACCTATATTTAGCCATTATTAATACTATATTTTACCATACATCTTTGTTTTTGTTTGCAGTAGTGTCATCTCAAAGCCATGACTGCTTGCAAGCAAGAGAGGTAGCTTTTCAAGGGAGGGGAGGTATAAGAAGTGAAAGTCTACAATCACAGAAGCTTTGGAAACTGCTCAAACAGCTTGTGCATGCCAGGGAATGTACTTTTGGCTAACTAGAGCCCTGTAAATTCTTTAACTACCAGTGCTGTAATGACACTCACAGACTGGTGTTGTTTTTTGTCCTCCATTAGCTTGTACCCATGGCATTTTTTATTGATTCCTTTCTCCCTGCTGTTCCTGCTCAATTTGGCACTGCATTAGACCAGGTAGAACTTTCAAGGTTTACTGGCACAAGATAAAGTAGATAGCACCTTTCTTTTACCCGCTGGGCCTGGTTGAGAAAACACTGCCAAACACATCCAGATTGTGACTAAATCCATTTTTGTTTGACTGCACTTTATTCATTCAAGGTGTGCATGTTTGGCCATGTGTTTTTATGCAATGTGATTGACAGGTGTTGAGGGGCTTCTTCCCACCATTAGCTCTTGTTCAAGAGCAGTGTAATACTGTCAACACATGCAGACGCTCTCATGCACACAGTGTCAGGTTGGTCCAGCTGTGAGCCAGGCAGTGTCTCTATTTTCAGCAGTGTGGGATCAGTCCTCAGTAGTGTCAACAGGTGGACAAGCTAACCAACAGCATGACCTTCAGTTGCCTCTTCTCCTTCCTTCTTTACTCTGTCACTCAACGTTCAACCTTTACTTAATCCTAGAAATGGGTTTTCCCAGCACATGTACACTTTAATTATCTCACTTATCTCACAGCAAAATAGCATAACTTGGCATGTCTACTGCAATGAAAGAAAATGCCAGCCAGTGCAATGGTAAAGGTCACTCACCTGTTTTTAATATTTTTAGGATAACCATGGAGCTCAGGGGCATAAGCACTATCACACTGTAGCTACACATACAATACTTATTCAGATTTGAAATTTCCTTTATTGTGGTTAATTTCTACATGTGCAATGTTGATAATCATATGACACAAACCCTTTCCTTAAAATACACAGAGAAATGAAGTCGCACACAAGCTAGCCCAGGACTAAACTGGGACAGCTCTCTAACAGCATACACTTAGCATGTCCACAACACTTACACAGCCTATGATTGTGTATTCTTGTTTGCTCTTTAAGAGCAGAAGATGAATATTTTTTCCAGTACAGATGAAACCCATACAAACAACAAGGATTAGATAACGCAGACAGACCACAAAGCTAATTTTATTCGCCCACATCAAAGGAATTTGAGTGAAGGCTATGTCTAGTATAGTCTATGGAAGTCAAGACTGTTTCAACTTGAGAGAAACATTTGCAACCTCTCTGCACCAGATGGTTTGTTACACAGAACTATCTGTGAAGTTGCCCTTAGAAACAGTTTGGAAAAGGGCATGAAGTTTCAAAACATACTTGGAAGGTGATCACTATCACAGGTTACTTCAACCAATCAGACCAATGAATCAGTAGGCCAGTCAGGAGATATGTTTTCCATTAAGAAAAGCCTTCAGTTCTGTTTTTTGCTCTTCTTTTAATGAAGAACTTTCTCTAGTTCTGATATATAACTCATGCTAGCAGCTCTTAAACAGCTTCCATTTTTGTTTAACAGTCACTTCTTGTTGTGTAATGCTAGTAATAGTTCCTCATCGGACGCCAAACCTCTGTGGTTCGGATAAAAAGCGCATAGCTTCAAGCCTGGCAAGATGGATTCTCACATGGTCTCCAGATTTCTTTCCAATCTCAGCGTTCATCCAGCTCACATCTCCCCACGCCACTCTCTGTCTCTTTTCTAACCTACAGAGTTGATTTGTTCAACACTCTTACCTAAACCACATCTATACATACTGTTTGAGCCGGGTACAATTGAAAGCCACTACACATTGGCATTTTTTTTTTCAGTCAATAGGACAGTGACAATCCACTGCTACTTCTTGATTGCATATCCAATTGTACACTGTGCATGTGGGAAATATGGTGAAAAGAATTAAACAAATTAACAAAAACAAATTCCTTGATCCCACTTTAATAGACAGTGTATAAAATGGAAATAGCTAACATGACAGTTGTGTGAGCTGGTTTTTCAGGATCCATGACTATTTTTAACAGGAAAATGACTTGACATTTTAGGTTTTCATTTCAAATTGTGGAGCTTTCTTCAAGCACTACATCTACATAGTATAAATAGTAAGTGAGCTTCAAATCCGTTACAGTACAAGAACAGGAGACAGATTAAAGGACCACTGTGATTGATTTAGTGGTATCTAGCGGTATCTAGTGGATGGCTCAGCAGACTGTTTGACAGTGATGAATTATGAACATTAACATTACAGGTGTTTTAGGAGCTGTGACCAAAAATGCCTTGATTTGACAATGTATTTTAAATTCTATATAGGTAATTACAAGCTGACAAATGAGTATCTACCACTGTGTGACATGAAAACTGTGCCTGTGTTAGCCACGTGTGGGTGAAAGGCTGATTTTAGTCGGTACGTGTGTAGGTGTGTGAGGGGGCTGAGCATGAATGTGTATAAACATAAGCGCCCACTCACATACAATATGGTATTTAGAACAGACTTGTACTGACATGACTGGTTCATGTGATCCCTCCCCTCTCAACTAACAACGTGGACTGTGGGGACTGTAGGGATTGTCAAGGACATTTGCATTGATCTTGTCTGTATATGTACACAGTATAACAGTTGTTTTCTTTTCCTTTAAAAATGTTTAATCAGCTAAAAAACATACTTAATAGATTTGTGTGTAATTCTAATTTGAAAATTTTAGTTCCAAAAACCAGGGGTGGAAGGGTGGGTCAACAAAGTAGGTGATTTTGACACAAGAAAAAAAATAAAAATAATAATAATAATAAAAAAGAACAAAATGCAGAATGATCATCTTTTATGGAAAATCATAATCTGAAAAGTAAACCAATAACTATGGAAATATGAGTGAGAACATGTTGGCACAAAAAAGCTCTGAAATTGGGTCCTAAACAGTGTTACAACAATGTGCTCTGGAGTAAGAAAATCTAAACCAAAAAGGAAATAAAATTGAAAGCTGGTTGCAGTCAGTCAACTGTCATAATGTTTTATTTCAATATTTTAACAGTTGATTGTAGAACAATGACATCCCACATCTCCCAAATACAAATACATTCCCTGCATGTACATCTTGACCAACTATACCACAGCTGTGAGACACAGGCTGTCATTTTCCCACTGCAGTTTCATGCATTACAATTATCTTGGCAAGGAGATGTTGAAAATGCCAAACATAGCACCTTTGATGGAGCCAGCATGAACTCCACCACCTTTTAGTTGTACTGGACATAAACCCATGTATACCCTCTGATTATTAAGGAAGCAGGCAGCAATGAACACGGACAAGATGACATTTACCCAGCTCAGGTGCTACTAGTAGTGTGAACACTAGCGCTACATAAATAAACATGTCCCTGCTTATTTATCACTGAGGATCTGGTTACCTCCTACAGTACAGCAGCTTGCCATTTTGGCAGCTGATCCAGTCCACGCGGAGCCAAATCTCCTATAAGTGATGACCTTTTTATAGCTGAATGCAGTTGAGAGTTACATGTGGTGGATCTGAGAAAGACAGCAGAATTATACTGGATGACATTGTTGAAACAGATTACAGTATGGATCAGTGGAGGGATGATAGATAGATATTCCTTTATTTTATTTATGGATGGAGCGATTGTAAAGGACAGACACTCACATGAGAGCAGTGATATGAATCCAAGCATCATGTAGTTCCCCTGCTATTTGTGAGTCTTTGGACTTCCCTCTAGCTTCCTCAGTTTGGACTTGGTTGTACTAAGATCAGGATTCATAGATTGTTGTTTGCCACATTTATGACACAGGTGGGGAAACTCTCACTTAGCTGAACTTTGACAAAGCTGACAGCAGAAAATGTTTTCCCATAGGACATTTTTTATTTAACTTTGATGACGTGTTTAAAGAGGTTCTTCACACTTGAACATGTTCTTTTGAGCCATTGACAGTGACACTCTCTGTGTCTATCTTAATGTCACCCATTGGTTTGTGGAGTATCATTTTGAAGCCTCAAGTCTGGCATTATGATCGTCGCCATGAAGGCTTGTCGGAGCCAGTGGAAGTGACGTACTGCGAGTTGAGCTGAAACAATTTTAGGCAAGAAATAAGGAACAGAATCTGGATTCAGATCTGATCAGCACTGCCAAGTTTGACAGTTTGATCTGAGTTTGGTGCGTTGAGCTGGAAGAACTCACTGAGAATTACTTGTCAATCATAAGGTAGCCACGCCCTAAAGCATACCCTGCTTTATCATCTATTTCACTCTAAATAGGACCATCATTTACTAAATGAACATCATGTTGGATGGAAGAACTGAGGACCAAGTAAGCAATGTGCTTATAGGAACAATATAGGAGTAAGGTGTAAATGAGTTGTCAAACAGGCATTCAGATTATGTATTCAAGTCATATAAATATACTCAAGGACATGTGATTGTGTTGTGTTAAGTCTCAATCTCCCATTTGAATTCATATCAGGGTTGCTGCTTTTATTTTAGTTTGTCATTGTTTGTCCTAGAATCCCAAAGGTCCTTCGGTGGCCAGTGCCTTCAGATGACCGAGTGGTCAGAAGGGCCCCCACTGGCCTCATATCTGAACAGCCTTGAAACTGGAGGCGTGCACTCACTCACTTGGCCAGTCCTGTTAAAGCTAAGCTGTATGTTAGCAGTTGATGTGTTAACAGGCCAGTGAAAAGAGTCAAGCCCCACTGTGATTTATTTATAACTCAGAAACATTCAATCTCAAGTGGAAATTCAGGTTTGGCTTAGGACCAAAATTGCCTCTGTGGTTTGGGCTCACAAATTTAGTTTGGGAATTGAAAGGTGAAGTTACGAAGTTAAAGTGAAATTAAAAAAAGATATTCAACAGTAACCGTTTCCATCAACGTAATTTGATGTAATAGGAGATGGAAACACTTTTTGTTGTATAACTTCTGACATAGCGAACAGTTGATGAGCTGTTTTCATTTAGTATCCTCATAGTCTATATTATCTAAGATAAGATATACAGCAGTGTAATTTAAACTGCTGTATATCTTATATAATAATTTTATAACTTATCTTTTTTTCGTTTTCCAACTGAAGAATTGGCGCCACTTACTGCCTGTCTCAATGAACCCATTCCTAATAATCACTTAACTGTACAGTTGATGGAAACAAACATTCCTTTTTTATTTGTTTGGTTTCAAAATTTGGTTAAAGTTTGCGCTACATTTGGATTGAAACACAGCTAGGGAAATGTTGCATTATTCTATTCTACTCTTTAAATGTTATAAATGAAGTGAAGCCTGCGAGCTAGTTCAGGCAGTCAACTCGAGCTGCGCTGCTATACACACGACATGCCTTATTCCATAATCACTAACCAAGCGCACCCTTCCAATCTGGCGGTCTATTTAAACTGCACAATTTCCCAGCTCTCCCTCTGCTCTGTCAATGCTGCTGTTGCCCTGCATCCGTATTGCTGCGGCTGCTCAGTAAGCTATTGCTGCCTGCTGCGCTGTAAGTCCCACCACCACCCCAGCATCCACCTGTAGGCTCCGGCTAGGGGGTTAAGGTATTTGCTCATCACTCCCTAATATCTCTATGTAAACATATCTGCAGGGAATGATGAGGTCACCCTAACGCCAAAATCTAAATATGCTATACTGCTGTAATAAACATTTCAAACTGAGTTGGCTGACTGAATTTTAATTCAGGTTCTTTTGTTTTATTTTTTACCACCTTTTTCATTTGTTCTGTCTTTTTTTGTTTCACCCCACTCGTTCCACTTTTCTACCTTTTCCCCTTCTCTCGCTTTCGTTATAGTGTCCTTTGCCTTCCTGCTTCTCTTTAAGCCACAGCACATTACTCCACATTGCTGTGGATGTGAACTGCACGCTCTCTTTTCAAACCGCACTGTGTTCAAACTGCAGAGGGTGAGGTGCATCTTAACCTTCAGTGATCATTCTGCTCTCCTCTGATTTACTGCCATGCATTAGAGCACAGAGAAACCAACACAGCCATGTCACATTCCCTACAGTCATTCCTCAGGCCTGGATCAATCATACACACACATGCTACTTCTCTTTCTGTCTCTCTCCCTGTCAAGGCTGATATGTGCAAATCCCTATTGTGTGTTATAATGTACTGCAGTAAATCATTGTTGGCAGGTGCAGACACTGTTTCAATTCAATTACATTTTAGAGCAGGTCGAGACCAAACTCTTTATAACATTATTTACAGAGACCCAACAGTACCACCATGAGCAAGCACTTGGCGACAAGGGCAAGGAAAAACTGCCTGTTAAAAGGCAGAAACCTAGGACAGATCCTTCGGCTCTAGGTGGGTGGTCGTCTGTCTCGACCAGTTGGGGTGAGAGAGAGACAGACAGACAGACAGACAGACAGACAGACAAACAGACAGAGGTGCACAGCAACAACAGTAGCAACAACTACACTACTAGTAGTGACTGATGATGATGAACATAAGGAAGATGATGGCAAAGACAACAACGATGGGGGACAATGAGCAGTGATTATAGTAACTGTAGTAATATTATTATTATGATTATTATATAATCATAATAATAATAATAATAATAATAATAATAACAATAATATCAGTGATATTAGCAATGGCAGTCAAGCAGGACCATGGCAGGAGGCTCCACCAGGATCCATGAGAACCTGCGAGACGAGAAAACACAAGAACTCCGGGGAAGAAGTGAAGTTAGTAACATGCATTAATGGGACATGAATGAGTGCAGAAAGAGAGAGGAAGAGAGGGGCTCAGTGCATCATGGGAAATCCCCCGATAGTCTAGGCCTATAGCAGCATAACTAAGGGATGGTTCAGGACTCACCTGATCCAGCCCTAACTATAAGCTTTATCAAAGAGGAATGTCTTAAGCCTACTCTTGAATGTGGTGAGGGTGTCTGCCTCCCGAACCACAACTGGAAGCTGGTTCCACAGGAGAGGAGCTTGGTAACTGAAGGCTCTGGCTCCTGTTCTACTTTTAGAGACTATAGGAACCACAAGTAGCCCAGCATTCAGAGAACGTAGTGTTCTAGTGGGGTAATAGGGTACTATGAGCTCTTTAAGATATGAAGGGGCCTGATCATGAAGATTTAGAAGAATTTTACAGGGAGCCAGTGCAGAGAAGCTAGTACAGGAGAGATGTGATCTCTTTTTCTAGTTCCTGTCAGTACTCGTGCTGCAGCGTTCTGAATTAATTGGAGCGTTTTAATGGACTTATTGGGGCAACCTGATAATAAGGAATTGCAGTAATCCAGCCTTGAAGTAACAAATGCATGGATTAGTTTTTCTGCATCTGTCTGTGATAGGATGTGTCTAATTTATGTAATATTACGTAGATGAAAAAAGGCAGTCCTGGAGGTCTGCTTCATGTGGGAATTAAATGAGAAATCCTGATCAAAGATAACTCCAAGATTCCTGACAGTGGTGCTAGAGGCCAAGGTAATGCCATCTAGAGTAACTATATCTTTAGACAGTGAGTCTCTGAGGTTTTTGGGGGGCGTCAAATACAGATGTTTTGGCACCCAGGGAATGAGACTGAACAATCAGCTATCTTCAAGCCTCCAACCCAAAGCTTGTCTTTCTCAGCTCTGATTGGCTGTTTTCATTGCAAATGCTATTTCTATTTATTGCTTTACTAATTTGCCCCAATAACGTCAAGAATGGGTGTACAATCTAAATGCTCACTTTAGGCTCTACCTCTAAGCTCTTTTATAATATTAGTGAGTTTTACTTTTCTATGTATTTACACAACTATGCATGGAAGTTTTGAACCTATTTGAAATCATACTTCCTCTTCCAGCTCATTCACTGCCCTGTACTCTGTATGTCCTGCAGGCCATTATGGAGGAGGCTGACCTGCTGAAGGAGAGGCTCCAGGCTATCACGGTAAGGACCAGTCATGTGCTTCTGGTAGGGACAGGAGAAAGCTGGGATGCAAATAATATCTGTGTCGCATGCTGAGAGCTGGTTTGCTGACTTGTACTATTCTTTTTTTATTTTGGAAGAATGTGTCACTTATTAGTTTCAACCCAGCCTCACGGCAATATCTGTGTTAATGAAATTTAATCGACTGATTTGTGCATGTGGACATGTTAGACTACAGTTTCAGAGAAATTCATCTAGTTGTGGTACATTTCTGAGTTCTCTTTTTCAGAATGTTTCACACAGTCAGCACAACAGAAGTCATGTCGATCACTTTTCATTACTTTCATATAAAATGCATTCAGTGACCACACCAACCAGTGATTCACCACCAATCCTCTGTGTAGTTACACTTCATTCCACTCATGTTTGCATACTATTTAAGTACCTGTTTAGTAACTCACACAATCCTCGGCTGCACCAGCATGGTGCGAACAAAGGGGTCGATTGGAGTGATACCAATGCTCTTGAGATTAACACAAAGAAATGGAAGAACTTGTGTTTGGTTCAACATTTGGCTCACATGAAGTTCTTATTTTTATCCCTAATTTAAAAAATCAAACAGGCATTTTTATACAAATACTTTGGTTTAATGATAGACTGAACTGTGATACTGGAAAGACCACAATTAACTTGCATGCAAAAAGACCGCTTCAGGTCTTTATGTGTAAATAGACAAATTCTAATTCTGTTTTTTATCTCTGTGATTATAAGTTTTCTGCAGTATTGTAATACGACTTGATACAAATGTTTATTCACTACTAAAAAGTCAAAAATGTTCCACCAAATGAAAATCTGCTCAAATATTGTCAATCCCTTGACTAACTCTATGAATCAGCCTACTATAAAAATATTTTAAGGCTGGCTAATAACATTGTCTCTGACCCCACTCATGCCCTGAACAGAGAATACAAACTGTTACCATCAAACTAGAGATACAGGGTTCCACAATTTAACAGGGTTATACTGAAGTACTCCTTTAGACACCAAGCTCAAATGCATGCTGAAGGGCCTTGAATATTGTCTTGTGTGTTAGTTATGTTATGTTAAATGTATGTATATTTGTTTCTTCTTTGGATTAATGTATTTTCTGTATTGTTGCAAATAGACATGTGATGCAAGAAAAATGTCAGACTTGATCTGACAATAAAGTACCATCATCATCATAATTGTCTTGCTACTACTACTACTACTACTACTTACTATTTATGGTAATTAAATAATGAGTCACAAAGTGTTACTCTTAGGGGACAAATTTTGTCAATGTCCTGATACAAGGGTTGATTCTGGGAAGTGTTTTGGTCGCATTAGTGCATTTTGGAGATAAACTGTTGGCTTCATGTTGGAAAAGAGAACTGTCTGAAGAGTTTTGAAAGAATTAACTTTTCATAGAGAAATGTGAGTTAACAGTTATGAAAAAAACCTGTACTGATGAGCCATTATGAAAGCCTTTAAACCAGGCACAGATATAGAGGTGCCTGGCCACCCCAGCTTCCACCTTGGGTTGGTGTCAAATGCTGTCAAATTTAACTCATTCATTTAGATTAATTTTAAAAATAACTTGTTAAAAATATTAAATGAATTAAATTATCTGTTATAGCCACATTTAAGACTCAGTGATATGCTTAAGTTCAATGAAAAAAGATGATTGGAAAAATGTCTGAAAAGTTTGGATGTATTGTTTTTTAATGCCACCTTTAGATATTTCTGTTTATTGCTTTACTAATTTGCCACAATAATGTCATGTTTTTCAGTTTTGGACATGCCATTAATATTTTCTATACATCTGCTCCTCTTTTAAACAACAGAGTGCACTCACTCTACAGAGCCAACTCAAATGTGGCTCCTATGCAGAATTAAGTCAAAACTCAGCACAGCATGTAATGATTCAACAGACTTGGACAATGTTCCTCTATACTGCCGTTATTGAAACGCCTGCAAATAATCTCCTATATGTAATGTGTGTATGTTTCCAGCAATATAACTAACTGCATCCTAGTGATTCAGTGCTGTGACATTAAGTCTGAGCAGGATGCCAAGTTGCAGTACTGAATCAGGAGCCATTTCCTAGCAGAGTCTGAAAATAACAAGTGTGGGTGTGTAGTTGCGGACGACAGAGCTGTACAGGGAAAACCTTCAAAGTTCTGGCAGTAGATGTGCAGGTCAGTTCCCCCGAGAGTGTAGAGAGAAGGCACGACTTTTATCCGTGCTAGAAAAGACGTTAACGTGTACTCTCTGGGGTGTGTGTGCACTAATCGGGTTTTGATGAAACGTTGGAGTGTATTCACTAGGAAGGACCTATTTACTTAAAGATACACTGCCTGATTTTGTTACAGCACTCCACAGCACTGCCTCTTCAACTGTGAACTGTGCTAAGTTATAAAGCTTAACACAGGGGGCATTTTTAACTATAATAGAGACAAAATACATTAAATTTGAGGGGAAGCCAAAATCCTATCACCTTTAAACTCACCCGTCTTAAAAAATGTCAAAGCTCAAAAAATACAATAGAGCCTAAATGCATGACTCCAGGAGACAAAGGTAAAGTCTTTACTTGGAAATAATACAAACATACAAAAATCCAGGCATGCAAACAACTCAAACAGAACCTCAAACCAGATAAGTTAATTTAACAAAAATGTTGTTGTAAATGTTATTACATTTACATCTTTCTTGATCAAATAGCTTTAGTAATTTGTGCAGGGTCTGAAATGACAACAGAGATAGAAGCTGAATGAATAAATGACAAGCCAGAATAAATGAAACTAAGATACCCAAAACCATGAGGAGATGTCTTAGTTTCCATATGTACAAAATGTTTGTATGTTTTGCCTGTATCCAATGATCCACAATACAGCCATTTTTGTTTGTTGAAATGATGCAGCCAAAAAAGTTTAAGCATCTTTGTTGCTTTAATTCAGTGTTGGAAATAATCGAAACAGAATATATGTATGAAGTATATTGTGTGATTCTTGTCTTATAAGCCACTGACTTCCAAACTATTTGTGATGTCAAAAATCATACATTTGGCTGAGATGGCTACCAGATGGGTGGCTACCAGATCTGGCCCACATGTGCACCATAATTCACTGCTGTATCTGGTCCGAGTGAAAGTGGGCTGTGTGGGCCATCACTGGGCCAGACCAATTTTGTTATGTGTGATCTTAAAAACTATACAAAAGACATGGTCCTTATTTTAAACAGCATTGTTAACAAAATGCTGTCTGCTCTTTGCTTGTAAGAAACAGCAGTGCAAGTTTATTTTTACTGTCCCTCCAACCAGAGGTTTGAAAATGTGTCTACCATACAGAAAACAATAAAATGTTAGTAACCAATTAAAGCTACAGTGCTTTGGGGCGTCATGCTCCAACATATCATGTGTAGACTTGTTGTGAAAATGTCACATAAATCAGATCACGATCCCCATACAAGGCTTACTTCCTGTTTCCAGTAGGTGGCACTATGACTATAGTGCTGGAGTGGGACTCTTATTTGACATTTGAAGTTTGGTTGAGATAGGACAAAGTACACTGAAGTTATGACAACTTCCTATTTCATGGCGAAATATCAAAACTTGGTGCAATGCCATGGACATTCGACAAAAGAATTGTGATGGTCTGAAGACTGACCAAATGTAACGTCTATTCAATCAATTCCTCCTCAAAGGAGGAGTTTGTTAAAATACAACACATGCAAATCACCAACTAAATTATATATGGCCAACTTCCTGTTGGGTTTAGGGTATGGGACCAAGTAGCTATTAAGTTTGTCTCATAATGATACATACGCGTACAGATTTTTATACATATTGGTGAAACATGCCTTGGGAGCTTCATTCAGGGGGCATGGTCAAGCCATTTTGCAACATATGCAAGACCCATATAATACATAATGTTTTGCCACTGCCAAATTCTGTGGCACGTTTCATGAGTTTAGAAGCATGTTGTAGCTGCAAAAAATGTGATTCACTGGGGAATAAAATTAGTTAGGGTTTCAGAAGGGCATTCAACAGGCTTTGTTGCTCTGACTCTAATTAGAAAACTCACTTTGACATAATTCTTTCTGTAAAAAGCAATGAGTTGAAAAAATCTATTTTTTTAAGAGAAAACTGGTTGCTATACATTTGGGGAGGTTTGCTAACACATCACACTGAACTTCAGTTGAAAAGATTTGAATCTGCCTCTGGTGTTTGATGGTATCTAAATCTAAGTGGGTTGGTTAGGACCCTCTGTCGACATTTCACACATATCTGATATCTGTGGGTGCAAAACAAAACATGATGAATAACAAGGGTCATTTGATTGGTAAGCCTCTAATTGTTGTGGTGCCAGTTGTCTCTGTGAAATGATTTTCATGGTCCACACATTTTAGCAAACTGACATCACCGAGTTTGACAGTCAGACGCAGACAGAGACGGGACTATAAATACCGGCAGACGTCACCAGGGAGATCCCCTTTCCTTGGGACTTAGTGCCACACTGATCCAAGATCCAGGAGCTAATGTTAACTTGCAGTGACTCCCCCTCCAAAGGAATACAAGGCTTGTGTTTTGTTAATTGTCAAAGCCATTAAGCAGTGTGTTTGTCTGTGATTATCCAGGCAGGACAAATATCTGTCCATTATTAAATGACAATCTAACTTGATTTAAGATTAATTATCCAGCTACAGGTGCTTATTAGCAGGGAAAGTTGTAGTGAACAGGTGGACACACACACACACACACACACACACACACACACACACACACACACACACACACACACACACACACACACAAACAAACACATACACAGACAAACAACAGGTTAGGTCAGGTCAGGAAGGCTGAGTTGCATTTCAGCTATTTATGGCCACTGGCGTCCAGCTGTCAGCTCAAGGTTGAAGTGTCAGTGGGTGAAGACAACAGGTGGAATAGTTTCCATGCTGTAAAATGTACACATGATGTAACTGTGTGTTTGATTCCCCCCCCAGGACAAACGAAGAATCCAGGAGAGCATCGCCATGAAGAGGAGACAGATCGAAGAGGAGAAATTAAAACTCCAGTACATAAAGGTAGATTTTACAGTTAGAGTAGCAACAAAACTAACATCCAGGAGACAATAAACCAGATATGTCAAAATGTGCTTCTAACATCTTATTCCATCTAATAAAGAACATTACAGAGTATGAATGTGTCTGCAGCACACACTGAACACTGAACAGAGACTGGAAAGACTCCTGGAGGAGCTCTGGGTTGAGTGTATTGTGATTTCTTTTATTATCTCAAAGCTAATAACACTGCAACAATCCCTGTTTATTTATCTACAAACTCAGTCTATAAAACAAGGTCAGGCCTTAATTTCACAAATATTAACTGGAGTCTCTCAGCAGTAGCATTATATAGCTTGTAATATTGTTCTTCTACCTACAGCTATTTTTCACTGCAACACATACCTGCATTACTGTCAGAGTTAACCTCCCTGTTCTTAAAGCTGCAGTATCTTTCTTGGCTCAGATTCTTGCAAATGCCATTAGGAGCACTAGAAGGAATCTGATTTTTCACACATTATCTGTCTCATGTACAACTGTCAGGATATAGTGAAAGATTCAGCGAACAAATTATTTTTAAGAAAAGTCACCTACTGCAGCTTTAAACAATTAAAAGACCACCATGGGGCAGGAAAACTCCAAAACAATCTCACAGCCAGGAGGTGCAGATCCAACTCTTTGCTTACTTCTGACACAGCAGTTACTGTGGTGTGTATTGGGGTCCATTACATTGAAAGGTTTTTAATATACTGTTGTCATCCCCATTTTCACAATTGGTGGCAGATGTGTGGATTCTAGTCACATGACTTGGACCAGAGTCAGCTGGAGTCACAGATTTGATGATGTTAAAATCGACTTAACAAGATCAATAAACTCCACTGTTGACAGAGAAGGCGCTGTGACACTGGGGTCTTTTTATGGCTGACCTTCTGGTAAACAAATAGAGAAACAGACCCTCCATGTGAGTTCTACTGCCCGCTCCAGCTCCTACACAAATAAAATAAATATACCAGTCAGAAGTTACCAAAATACCAACAAGAAAATACAATAAATAATGGATGGATAAGGATAATGAATGGGTCAGAAGAAATGACACCCACTTCTCCCACAGGGGAGTTCTACAAAAAGGGAGAGGGGAGGAGGCAAAACAAATTCATAGTGGGGACCACAGAAGAGGAAATGATGTTGAATGTTAATACACTGAACAATGCAATGCATTCCTGATTTATGTAAATGTATTAACATTTTTGTGTAAAATATTTTTTGGCATGTCATTTGGTGAAGAGTGCATAATGACTTCTTTAGGACTCAAAACACAAAGTTGACTTGAGACTTAATTGTGACTTTCAAAACAATTACCTGGTCCCAGCTATATCACATATACACATATCACATAGTCAAAGGTTGTTCAACAGAAGAAAAAAAGTAGAACAGTAGAAAAGATGTGTTGCATGTATATATTATATCACTCTAGCAAGTAATACATTATTACATAATAGGTTATCAAGCTTTCCAAATTAATGAATTAACATGCAATGCACATTTCTGAACATTCTAATGTCAAAATTTAAATGTAGTTTTCATTGATAGAGACCTCACAATCATTTATACCTCGAACCACCAAGAGGTCTTGTTTACCCCTCACAGAAACTGCTGTATAAGGGAACAGACAAAAAGACGTTTTTGTTGTCAAAATATGAATAGAACTCTAAATACCGTCGCCAGCTAAAACTGAGGTTCCTGTGTGTTGGTGTGTTTGATTGACAGAAGAAAGCCCTGAGGGAGCAGTGGCTGATGGATGGTCTGAGTCAGCAGTCGGAGGAGGAACAGGAGGCCATGAGGCTTCAGGCTCAGGATGAACAGCAGCAGAGCGATCAGCTCCAGAGCAACATCTTCAGGTAAGGCACCTGGAAATCACACACAGTACATCCCACACTGGACACAATGGGCAGACAGAGCGGGCAGAACTAACAAATCATGTGGGTGAAGGCGTTTATATTTGGTTCAGGTCACTGAAAAATGCAAAGTCTGACTGAAACTTAGTTAGTGATCCCAGTGGAGAAGGCGGGTTGCTACAGAGACAAACAGGAACAGACTTTGAAGTCACTCAGGTTAAACTCTAAAATGCAAAATGAACTATATGTTCATCTGCCACAAACTGGATTATTATTATCTCTTTTAGTTGTTCCAGGAGTTTCGTTGCCCTAGGACACTCTTTCTGTTTCCTGAAATTCCTACATAGAAATCGACAAAAGTAAAAATTAACTAATAGAAAATAGAAGGCTTTATACAAGCTGTATTTATGTGGGTGTAGGTTTGGTTTAGAAATAGGGGGGTTGTGACAAAGTCCGATGATTAGAACAATCAACTAGCTTACGATATGGTGAAAGTTTCAGCAAATATGACAAATATTATTTTTCATAAAAGTTACCTACTGCAGCTTTGAGGTCATTGTAAATTATAAAAGTTAAGGGGAAACACTATTAAAACTATTTAGATTATTACACATTGATTGTGTATATGTTAAATTTTACTTCTAGATTAAAACCTCTGGGGCTGAAGAAATCTAGCGTCTTTTGAATCATCACCCACTCATTGATAGGCTACAGCCTCGAGGCACTGTGCATGTGGGCGGCTGTGGTGCAGAGGCAGAGCGGGTCGTTCCCCAAATTGGAAGGTTGTTGGTTCGTTCCCCGGCTCCTACCGCCACATGTCGAAGTATCCTTGAGCAAGATACTGAGCCCCAAATTCAGTGCAGTGCATCAGCGTGTGAATGTGTATGAATGAGTTAGTTTCTGTTTGATGGACTTTGCCATCACGTGTGTGAAAGGGTGAATGTGCCATGTAGTGTAAAAGCGCTTTGAGTGGTCGGAAGACTAGAAAGGTGCTATACAAGTACAGGTCCATTTACCATTTACCATGTGTTCCACAGTGGGAAGCAGTGCGGGATTAAGACCAGACTGTTTCACATGAACTCCCTGTCAGCAGCATGTGTGTCAGTCAAGCACAGACTGTTAACCTTCTCCTCATTACATAACACAACTACTTAGCCATAGCTTAGTGTATGCAGACAGTAAGAACACAAGCAAGCTTCACACCCTCCACATTCAAACCACTGCATGTCTTTATATGGGAAGCTGGGGAGGTCATAAGTTTAAGATAAATGATTTTTAATAATATTGATTATTTTGAATGAATATATTGCGGGATCATGGAAAAGAAAGCATTATTACACTAGCATCCTCTACATGTGTTGAGCGGCAGAGCCAGGAAGGGGTTACTGGAGCTCCAGTCCTGAATGTTTTCTCAAAAGCCCTGAATCTTTTTGGATTTTACTTAGAAATCAAACTTTGTGTCATTTCCACTCAGTCTCTCTGACTGGATTGGAAAATCAATGTATCAAAAGTTATATTAGTAGAGAAATATCGCAATTTTTACTGTATTATGGGATGCATTGTAGCAGATCAGTTTAATATTCATTATGTGAACTCTACTCCAGCATAGTTGAACAAAAATAGGTTTCAAGATTAGTCATTCTGTTTATGACTACCTATGTTATGTAACTTAAAAATAATAACGTCAGACAATTTTTGCCTCTTTTTAGGTGGTATGGGTGAAAATGAGTCATCCTCAACATTTGTTGTATTCTGGTTTCAGAATGATGATGACAGCAACTATCATGCTTTTTCTAAGTGATGTACAGAGTTTTTTACGCTTTCTATTATCTCATCTAGCTTGGAAAAGTGCACCTAACTGGGGGTAGTATACCCCCTTAGGTTTGGGCTAAGCCATACATTTTTACACTCTCTGACTCCGCCTCTGCATGTGTCCATATGGTTCTCTTAGAAAGTTTAAACATCTTCACAAACCATAACTGTCATCCCTTTGACACCACTCCTTGCCAAAGACTCCAAGTGGTCACATCTTTTCATAAAGTGTGCATTGGACACAGATGTTGTGGTGGCAGCATATCTTTAATGCTGCTTCAATGTGGGATAAGAATTCATGTATGAATATGAGAAGCATTGCCAAACCATTAATGCTGAGTAATTATTTTCACGTTTAGTCTTTTTGTCTCCTTTTATATCCTTACATTTTCATCCGTTTGGTTGTGTGTATGTGTGTGTTTATCTGTCCACAGCTGCTCTCACATACTACTGGACCAGTCAGCCTCATATTTACTTTTTGTGCACATTTATGACTGCATGCTCGAAGACCTCTTATGGTTGCGGTGAATCTCGATTTTACTTCACACTTGTAGCCATGCATCATTAGGACTGAACTAAAAGCCTGCCAGGCCAGTTAAATTCAAATTATATTCAGTCTAATCAGATCTTGTAGGGTTCCGCTCTGTTGCTGTAATGTGTGTCACTATGTGTAGTACCTGGGCCGATATGAGACTCTCTGTCACCTCTGATCACATTGTGCATCATCTCAGGAGAAATGTGTCTTTTGAGGCAGATGGAGTATTAACTGTGAAATGCAAAAAAAAAATGAAATGTACTGATGTGCTTTTTGAGCATTGTGTTGCTGCTATGTGTTTGTGCTCTCTCTCCTTTTGGGTCTGTTCAGGTCTGACTGTACTCAGGTCAGTTTGGGATCTTTTTGAAAATTAAGTTATGCGCACAGGGTTCGGGTAGGTTTTCCACTGGTCCATGATGGATTGGGTCAAAGATTTAGGACCTGTGAAGGCCTCTATTAACAATATCTCCTATAATCATGTTTTCAGTTTTCATATAAGGAGCATTTCTTTAGCAGAATGTAGTTCAAAATCTCATAACCTGAACACATAAAACCAGTAGTACTGACCAGTTCATTTAGAAAAACAGTGGTTGTTGCTGTCAACCTTTCCCAACACTAAACACCTGTAGATTTGAGATAAATATGTGGAAACACACTCTTTGTAACACCATGAGTTTTCGGTGAGAATATAGCAGCAAAATAACACAATATCTTCTGCTTCTCCAAGAGTGTTACGCTAAAACAAAATTAAAAAGCTCCCTGTTGGGAAATTTAGTTTTTGCTAGAGTGACATGATGAAAAGACATAAAAGATACATTAAGATATCAATAGAGGGAGTGCCTGGCCGCATGGTCCTCGCTGTCACCAGTTTACTTCCAGCTGTTGTTGCATGTCTTACCCCTCTCTCCCCGTTTCCTGTCTTCCTCTTCACCTGTTACATTCCATTAAAGGCAAAACCCATAGTCTCATGACATCACCCATAGGTTTCTGAAGAGCTGTTGTGAAGCTCAGTGTGATAGCTCTGGTCCGTCACAATCTTGGCAGTCCTGACTCCACCGAATCCTAGCTAATCTAAAAATGGGAAAATAGGTGGAGCGTGGGTTGTTGAGTTGAGGCACAATGAATGAAGCCTCTGGCCCATCTGTCACTAAAAGCCCTAATTATGCATAACTTAAAGCCTTATTATAATTTAAAGGGGTGAGTTATATAAAAAACAACAACCCTGTTGTCATGAACGGAGAAATTAGCTACAGAGACATAAACTGTTTTTTTCTACCAGGCTGTAAACATGTTTAGAAATAATAATGTTGAACATATGAAGATTGAGCCCGTGGGGCCAGCCTCAAGTGGCTGTTACAAGAACTGCACTTCTGTTTGGCTTTATTCACAAACCATGGAAGTTGCCGCTTGGCAAAAACATGCTTGCCCCCCAAAAATAATATAATATATATATAGGCCTTTATGAATTGAAGATGTCATGCTTAGTTTTAACTTTCTTAATGAACTTCATGATGTTTTTAGAAATCAGGTGCGATGCATCTACATTTCACATAATATGGCAACAGGAACCAGAAAAAAGAAAAGAAAATATTAACTAAAGGTCCAGTTAGCTTTGTCCTGATCTTTCAATTACATCTTGCAGTCTTCCTCAGCAGATGGTGACCTTTCATTTGTCATCATATTACCTATGTGTAGAACTTTCACTATGCCAATATATTGTTTATAACCCATTAATGACCACCTGTCATCCTATTACAGTCCCATACTTTAAAAGACAATGATAACTAAGTTAAGTTAACTAAGTTTACTGATGAACAAACTTTGGAAACATTTTGTTGACACTGAATTAACATTTTTTTCTTGTTTTGTCAGACTCTTGATATTTGAGTTTTTAAAGCTTGTATAAACAGCCACCAATACACACACTGCAACATCTTATTGGCTCATGTGGAGCAGGTATACCAAATAAATATTTAAGGTTATCTGATATAACCTGACCCCCCAGTCTAGGTGAACCTGCCCTCTGAGGGAGAGCAAATGGACTCCTAATATCTGCTGATGATAGAGTAGTAAAGATATTTAACTTAAACAAACTACAAGGTGTTGTTCTTAATTTAATACTGATGCCTATATATGACCTACATAAATAACACAAAATGAAAGTTCCTTGGAGCTGCTTAAAGTAAGAAGCAAAAAAAACACAAAAAAAGAAAAACAACTATATATATTATATTGGGTAGTCTACCCAAAATACCAAAAAACAGCACTGAAGCAAATGTGTTGTGCTTGCTTGAAAATCCATTCAAGTACTCCTTAGCTGCTGCTGTTAGTTAAAACCTGCTGAAAATGCTGTTCAGTTAAGCACTCCAGTAATAACACAGTTCATTCCTTTCTTGTACAGAATAGAGAAGGAGATTGAGGCCTTGGAAACACAGGAGCTCAACATCTCTGCCAACGAAGAAGTCGTTCTGAAGCGATTAAAAGAGGTTGAGAGGACAGCTGAAGACATTATTAAGGTAGGCTCTAATAAACTGGCTGCCTTTTAATACCCTGCTTGCTTTATCGGCTCTTACCCTGTGTGTGCTTACTGATTAATTCTGCTGCAATATGCAACTTTTCACCTGGAGGCAATGAAACATGATGAGTTCTAATAATCATTTAGCTTTTTACAAAACATAAGTTGCTGCTTCCTGATGTGAGAACAAAATGAGGTCAAGACATGGCTGTGTAGGCTACATTTGAAACATTGCTCCTTGCAGATGTGTTGATGAAGCAGTACACCTTAACACACACAGGCTGCTTAATTTGTGCTTCTCTGTTGTTAAATTTGTGATAAAAGTTACATTCAGCAACAACATTTGTCGTTTTGTCACAATGAATAAACAGCTTATAATTAACCAATTCTTGATGTAAGTTTGAAAGTTTTACTGATTTGTAAGTTCAATGTGCAGCTTCACTGGTGAATAGAAATGTTCAGCTCTGTAGTGAACATTTCTCTGTAAAAGCTGACTCACAACATCAAACAGTAACTCAACACCTCCTGGAAATCTTGTTTTTCCTGCAGTGGTGTAATGTTTCACCTTGCGGTGATGCAGAAGTACTTCTTTAATCATTAATAGTCTTAAAACTTCCAGGTAAGGTTACAACCCTGTCTCCTAAAATTTACATTTGTATATTACTAAATAGTTTTCATATTGTAAATGGCTTGTAGGTGTGAATGTGAGAGTGAATGGTTGACTTTCTGTAGGTGTTACTGAAGGCAATCAGACTGAAAGCAGCACTGCAACTAAAGAATACTGGCTGTGTAGGTGGGGCCGTTGTTACTTCAGGTTGATGTAAGATGATGAAATACGATCTAGGATTGCCAGTTTGAATATGAAGGTTTAACAGACGCCAAAACACTAAAACAGTCAAACATTTTATCCTCTGTCTCCATGATCACCAGAGTTATGGTGTTACATTACAAAATACTTTTGATTGGCCAATGCAGTCTAATGCTGCATCATCAGCACACCCAAGCTTCAGATTAAAGTTAATAAAATAAAATGTGATTCTACATTTGTCAGTGCTATTTTGTGTGTAGATTTGTGACACAGCAACATTTAAAATATAGCCAGGTCTTGGTTTAAATTACCCCTTGTTTCCAAATGTACATTTGTTCTGTTAAACAAGAAACTTTAATTTAAAGGTTATACAAAATTCACTTAACACTGGATGTCGTAATAGAGCACAAGCAAACAAACCATAGAGAGGCTGCAATAGCAACATAGGCAGAGGGAGTGTGACACCAGGACTCCACTGTATCTTTACATACATAATAGCTGTTTGCTGCTACATTCATGTTTAAACTCTCACATATATACATATATATACAAAATGTGCATTTGTTCTTTTAAACAATTAAGTTTAATGTAAATAACACAATGTAAAAATATATTCATCTCAGATAAATAACTCTCGAAATGATGAATGATGAAATCTGGATATTGACCCCAGTATAATGCCACTTGAGCAACATGTGTATAACCTCAAGCCATAACCAACCTTATGTATAGCTCAGCTTACTACATATTTAGAAAGGTCTGGCTCGGTCAGATGTGTGGGTTATAAGAGGTCGAATATTCTATGAATATACTATATTGAATTCAAATGTCATTGTTTTCTACTCACCCCATGCTGCCTGTGCCTCTTCCTCTAATCTCTGCTTGTTTCTAACAAGATGCACCCACTGAGGACTGTGTGGGTGTGCTTTGGTTCACAAGAGGCTGCTTTGAGTGAATAAGGTGGCAGGTAAATGGATTGCTAACACAGTGGGCGTGCGGCGTACAAGAACTAATATGCATGATTTGCTTTCTGGTTGCTGTCTGTATTTAGACTCAAAGGCACAGTGAAATAACTGTGACTTGAATGTGGCAAAGTCGTGGACTGCTGATGCTAAACACCATTAATCTGTAGCACTGCTGTGATGTTGACTTCCTGCCTCTCTCACCACTTTGACCCTCGACTACTCTGTCTTCACATGTAGGAGCTAAACGCAGAGTTCCACGCAGGTAAACATTTCTGTAGCATTTTGTTTTGTGATTGGTTTATTAGTTTAATTAGACTAATACTTCTACATGTATGTCATTTTCTGTATCAGCTTTTCTTTGTGATAACTAAAATGTAAGACGAGGCTGTACTAACATATTAAAAGATCGGACATTACTTAACATATATTAGTGACAGTAAACAATACTGTTGATACACTAACCCTTTTAACCTTTAGTGGTTATCATTCAGACACAAACAGCAATGATTGGTTGCTAATTTTTTAGGCCCGTTATTTTTATATCATTAACAAAATGTATGTTAACAATGTATTTTCTGCCAGCCATTACCCCAACTGACATTATATTTTCTTGAAATGATAACAAATTATGATATGTCTGGTGTTATAAATTGTGTTTTCTTCAAATTGTTATACCAAGCTAATGACTGAAGTATTTGGCTGTGTAAGTATTTAGCTACCTAACCCTAGTAATATGGAGGTAACAAATTGTGCTATAATGGGAATATGCCCTCCATTCTTTATCAAGATTGACACAAATGGCTGACTTGGACAGACCATATAGAACATGTTTTGAGATAAATGATCAAGTCCTAATGATCACAAAATGCGTTCCGTATCCCTGGAAACAACTAGCCTGTCTCAGTCCAAAGTTAGAAAATACACTAACCAACACCTCTAAAGTTAATTAACTAACACATTGTATAACACGGCATTTGTTTAATTCATATACAAACCAAGTTGTAGAGTTGGAACTATTTCTTGACAGACCATACTGCAGTTTGTCCATCTGCCCAGAGCAATTAAATAAAGGTCTGTTCACGTACAAGATACACTGTGTAACTTAGTGTGCTTTAGAGGATGTTGGTGGGTATAAGTTTGAACTTCAGACAGAGCCAGGTTAGCTGTTTCCCTCCACTTCCAGTCTTTATGCTAAGCTAGGCTAATCCTGATTCCAGCTAAGGAATGCGAGCAACCATATTTCCTCTTGAATTATCCCTTTAAAGTATATTACCTTGGAATAATTAAAAAAATAGCATAACTTGTTATCTTGTGATAAAACTAATCTATACCATAGTGATGGTTTGACACCTCTGTATAACAAGAGCCTTAATTGGTGTATTTTCTCCTTAGATTTGACACATCATGTCAACTCGCCCCTCCCAGATATCCCATCATTCATCCCACTGATAGCAGCGAAAACCCCTCCTATACATGAGCCTGGTGGTGAAAAACCAAAGAAAGGTAAAGACATTATAGAGGTAGTGCATATGCTGAAATAGATCATACAGCTGTCAGGGCAATCTGTTGAAATATGATAGGAGACGGTAGTGAGAAGTGGTACACAGTGGGATAGAAAAGGTTCAGATGCTCGCCATGCAGTTTCTCAGCTCAATCTTTTAGCTCCAGGGTTATGCAGACTAGCTGCTCTGACTGAAATGCCTCCTGCTTCCATTATGCTATTTTAAAAGATGTTATTTTACATTTCACCAGGATGGAAATTATGAAGCAATTAGATGAGGAGAACATAACATGCCTGCCATTTTGGAACTTTGTTGAAGTCATACATCGGGAGAAAGCAAAGTTTTCATCAGAGGGAAAATAGGCTGATGAAAGAGCACTGAGTGATGTTCAGCCTTCAACAGACACAACAATATACACAACCTATAATAGGTGTACATTTGTCTTAAGTAGTATGCATTGTTTGCAAACTAATCGCCTCCATGAGCCCATGTAGGAGCCAATATTATTTTTGGAATAACTTAATACGAGACAGAATATCAATCAGTCAAACTTTATTCATATAGTACCTTTTATAAACAACAGCTCAAAGTGCTTCACACATGACAAGCTGATAAGACAGAATGTGTGTGAACCGAGTAAAATAAAAAATACTACATTAAACAAATTTTAAAACACAAAACAAATATAAAGATGACAAAGATACAATAAACTAGATTTGACAAGTTTAACAATAAATAGTCTTTAATGAAAACTATACTAGAAACTCAATAAAATAGATGAAGACAAGATAAATTAATAATAGGGATAAAAAAAGAATATTAATAAATTAACTGATAAAAACAATTTGCATAATATGGGGGGAACATGGGAACTCCAAAGAGATTGAGCGATTGATTATTAATGGCTATATTGATTTTGAAAATGCAAGATCACAGAAAATTTTGAAACACCTTCTTAACTTTGCAGCCACATAGCTCCCACCCATGGTTAAGATAAGATGAGAGATAAAATAATAAAACCATGGTGCACAAAAGGTCTATAAAAAGTGCATCTTAAGAATAAACCTTTTTTGTGTGTATATTGCTTGTTTTGTTCTCAGATGTACAAATCTTTGTTTCAGATAGATAATATATTTTTCAACAGTATAGATTGGAAATTCTATCCAAAAACAAATATACCTATTCAAGGGTTGACTCTGATGAAGTGCTTGCACTATTAAACTTTACAAATCAATTGATGTGCACCAGTTCTTTCTTCCCTGAGGTTCATGTCCTTAAAACTGTAGTTGTAACTTTTTGTCATTTTTGCTGAAACTTTCACTACAGCCAAGAAAGATAGTTTAGTCGCATTCCCAGGTCGTCAAATACTGACTTTTTGGGTTGAGGGCTTGAAGATAGTTGATTGTTAAGTTTCATTCCCAAAGCATCTGTATTTGACGTCCTGGGATCATCTTTCTCAACTTTGATTAGTTGTTGTTGTTCAAACACGGTGAATCTTGTAAATGCCATTAGGAGCACTAGGAGGAGCCAGAGGAACCAGATTTTTTTCACAGATTATCCGTCTCACCCCTTTTTACTTGTTTTCATGTTGGTCAAAACACATATGCTTATTTGACACAGGGCTGCAACTAACAATTTTATATTTACGATTATTTGGCTAATCTGTTGATCTTCCTGTTTATAAAATGTCAGAAAATAGTTCAAATAGGTGTCCCAGTTTCCTAAATCTTAATCATCTTCAAAATATTTTTTTGTTTGCCAGTTTGAAGCTTAGATAGATAGATAAATACTTTACCTTGGAGAAATTCCGGTATCCAGTAGCTCGGACTGTTCATATACAAATATGGCTTAAAAGACAAAAAGAATACTAATGGGTTAAAAAGAGACAATTATTAATAAGATAAAATAAATAAGATGATGAATAAATGTGCCAACAAAACCAGTGGCAATAAAAAGTACCAATAAAAGCAGTCCTTGAAGGAGCATTGCACAGACCCTTGGTGGAGGATGGGTAGATAGAGAGGACGATTAATTGATCAATTGCCTCAGCTGTAATTTGATGCAGGATATTATGTAATGTATAACTTATTATGTTATTTACAGAGTGTTATAAGCAAAGTATTAAGTAATACAGCATTATGGCAGTTTCCTAAGCTTTTTATCTTTTTAAGAATGAAAATCTAACATCAAAAAATGTTCAATGACAAGAAACGTATTTGAATATTTGTATTTCCTATTTGTCCTAAGACCTTCATTTAAGTCTTTTCTTCATTCCAGCTACGTTTGCAATGGAGATTAGTGTTGAACTGGATAAGAGAACAGGCAAAAGTCAGGTAGTCTCTATAGCAACCATCACCCCAGAAACCATCCAGGACAGAGGGTTGAAGGTGTACGATGATGGGCGCAAGTCTGTATATGCGCTGCATCCAGATGGATGCAAAATGCTCAGTGGGGCAGTTGGAGAGATGACGCCCACAGAGGTAGAAGAGCTGCTGCATCAGGCCACAGAGAAGAACGTGCCCACAGGGGTGCAGTACCATCAGCCAGTCTACTCTGTACCCTACACAGGGAGCAGCAGGCCTTCAACACCCAGGGCACCAAATAAAACACAGAGGCTAACCCCAACACGCAGCCCCAGCCCCTTCCAGAGTGCAATTTCATCAAGAAATGGAGCTCAAATCCACAGAGAGGAAAACCAAAGAAGCCAAGACCTGGAGGGACAAAAAACACCCAGCCCTAGCCACATCCAACAGGACTCCATGACAAAAGTCCAAAGACATGAAGAAATCAAGCAGCCCTTCTTCCACATTCCAGGACAACCCAACAGTGACAGACATCAAATTCCACAGCCTCACTTTGGTGCTAAAACTCCACGAGGACTTACCAGCAGCAAGTGGGAAGCAAGCAGTCCAAACTCAGCAGCACTTGTCTCAGTCAAAGCCAGGTCCGAAGGAATGCCAGCACCCATGCAGCCGGTCTACAGGGATGTGGATAGTCCTTCACTGGCCAGCCACAAGTCCGAAGTTGATCAATATGGCTTGATAGAGAGCTCCAGTGATTTTAACAGACACTCGCCTTTCTGCACAGAGAGTATCGCGTCTCTGAACCTGGTCAACACCCTCCCACAGGAGCTGGAATCAGAACCCATCACCATGATCTTCATGGGCTTTGAGAATGCTGAGGATGCGGAGGAAGAAGACATCCAGGCTGAGCTGGTGATCATAAGCAACAGTGATGATGATGAGGCCCAGTATGATAAAAATGAAAACGACGAGCAGGAGTGTCTCTCATTCCACCCTGAGGGATACAAGAGCCAAGTCTTCCAACCCAAAGTGGGTGTAGCCAAGGTTACAGGCTGCAGAGACATTATTAAAGATTCCCACACAAACTGGGATGATTTAGGGCTCCACACGCCAACGTTCATCCACAAGCCAGGAAAGCACAGTCCCTACCTGCATGGACAGGGGGCGGATGAGTCTGCAAACACCGGCAGCATTAATATGGAGAAGATGAAGCTCTGTTCAACAGGGAGATGAGACAGAACTTCACCTGATCACCTGAAACTGGGTAGAAGTAATGTACGAATAGGATTTTGGTGATTTGTTCTGTGAAATTTCTTACTAGTCCTTCACCATGTATGTCCATGGTTTATAGGTTTGAACATATCTTGTGTGTAAATGCTTAACCTGCTGCCAATCCAATCTACAGTGCTTCTCAGCCTTACTCCAGATGCATTTTAGGAAGGCAATAACTTTTCTCATAGTGACATTTATTGCAGAAACCCTTAGCTTGCCGTGTCTGTGTTTTGTCCGGATTGAGGGACACAGCTGAGCCACAGACAATCAGTCCCTGCACCTAGGTGATTCTGAAAGCTTTACTGCCACCTCCTGACAAAATAGTTCCATTACACAGTCACATTAACATGGACAATGACATTGTCAAAGCCTTACCAGTGCAGTTTTAATGTTATCTGTGTAAAATGAAATACTTTATAAATGTTTGTACAAAATTGCTGTATTACTGGTAAATATAGTCTCTGTTAATGCTTTGTAGAAACCTTCAGATAACCTCCTTCAGTATAAATGTCTTTGTCTCTTTAATTCACCAGGTAGACCCTTTGAAAAGGACGCTATACCACCTACATTAATGGATAATTGTGGTTGAGGAAACCTTTATTAATGCCTTATTATCGTACAAAATGGTAGACCTGATGGCTTATTATAAAGTGAGTAACACATGACCTTTTAACTAAATCACTTTCTAACCAGTCACCAAGTCTGAAATAGTAAATGTTGGTAAGTTGATTTTGGTGCGACTGCAACACTTTGACAGAGATTTGTTACGCTTCACCATGATATAAAGCAGCCCATGGGATTTTCATTAAAGGCACACTATGCAAGCTTCAAAGTCATTTCGATGGTAAACGAACTCGTAGTATAGCGAATCATCCCGATAGCGAAACAGGAGAGGGACGCCGCTGGCAGAACCAGCAATGCAATTCTGAAGGTGGCATCCTGCCAAATCTCGCGAGAATCAAAAATTGCTTGACGGCGCAACGTCACATACATCAGCGACATAAGAAGCAGCCTCAATGGAAGACGCTAGCAGACATTCACTCAGACGTTACCTGGTCAGTAGACATCTTCGGAGTCTATCTTTGCCTGTTCGATGTCCGAGCTTCCATCCTACTGAACATGTACCGGTATACAGGGGGGAGGGGATCAGGCTGTGAGTGCAGAGACACAGAGCCGTATATAGAGACAGCTCTGGTTAGTGGAATTTACTACAGTTAACGTTAAATACAAGTACTCCGCAGAGAATCTAGGGGTAGCTGTTTGACAAAACTGGAAAACTGCATAGTATGCCTTTAATGCTTTGTTGCTGAGCTACACAATATGGCCAAAAGTATGTGGACAAACTTTTTTAAAATTTTGGTCAAGGTCTGTTTTTTGCAGGTTTAGGCCCTTTATGTCATAAGTCAGGAAACTCAGGAGTGGCCTCAAATGCAAGACAGGAGCAGGATGACTTCAGTGATTCAATGTATATTGAACTTACAAGCAGGTGCAGGTACAAGTAGGCAGGTAGATAAACAGGTATAAGTCTAGGAAATGTATAAGGTGTCCACATACTTGTTATACAGTGCAAAATTAATTAATGAATAATTAATTTACCATTAATAAAAACATTTAATACAACTTAGAAACATTTATCAGTTATGGACTTTTTAAAGTGGTTCCTTTTTTTTTAAATGTTAAAGGGGAACTTGGCAACTCTAGCCATTTCTTTGCTGGTTTTCGCTTTTGTCGTCGCATGTTTTCTCAACGAGCTCCCCCTACAGCTCTGGGACGTATATTTCAAAACACTGTCGTAAAAAAAACTCACTTGCGGCACCCTCCTCCCCCTTTCTACCGCTGCTGATGTGCATTTGTTGCCGGGCAACTTTTTTGTGTGGAGCAATGTCTACCGAGATGGGTAATACATTCATCGTCGCTTGTTCTTATAGCCGGCGTGGCTAAACGGTATTGAGGGGGGCGTGTGCGTTTATGTGGAATTGCCGCAAAGAAGTTCGTGTTTCTCACTCGTTCTTGCTTCTCACGATACTTCCTATTTCCAACTTAACGGGACGGTAGTCCCAAAGTTGCAAGCTTGGTTTTCCACCTGGGGATGCTAGGGGGAGCAGGGAAAGTCACCATTAACACCAGAACAGGCCATTTAACCATCCAAATGATTTCTAAACAGGTTTATTAAGTTGAAATAGTTGCCAAATTCCCCTTTAAAATGTAAATGTAAATCATGGTTTTGCTTGAATTTCTACTGTAACTAACTGACCTGTGTGCTGTTACTTCCTTGGTGATTAAAAGATTTCCCCATCAACTAATGGTGACAGTGTTGTTTTTGTACGTCAAAAGACTTTGCTGATGGTGATACAAAAAACTAACTAAATCTAAAACAACTATTCTATTGGATATTAATCACCTGTATCACTACAAAAGCTGGTTCAAATACAAGAATGAGAAATGACAAATAAGTGTTAATTATGTTAAATTAACTAACAGGGGTGGAACCAGGTCATTGTTTTGCAAGTCACAAGTAAATCTTTGCACTCAAGTCTCAAGTCAAGACCCAAGTCAAGACTAGCAAGTTCTGAATCATATCCAAGTCAAAACTGACAAGCTCAAGTCAAGTATCAAGTCCTGAACTTTGAGTTTAAAGTCCTAAAGCGCTTTTCACCAAAAGTAATGCCATTTATCTTTGCCATCAGATTGGTTCAAACAAGTGTTTTAAATGGGCTAGTACGCCTCAGTTCTGAGTACTTGCACTTCTGATTTTTGTCTAAAGGTAACCTTACTTCTTATTGAGTACTGTCTGTTGAGTGTGGCTCCTAACTCCTAAGCACCTGTGTAACTGTGTTTCTGTGTAAACACAGCTAGCTTAACACCCGTGTGTGTGTGTGGCGGAACGTCTTGATTTTTAGTTAGCCCATGTTAACAGTGGTCACACTGCCCATGTGAGACACACGTCTCAGAGCAAAAGGACAGTGAAAATGATCGATTGGTAGTCATATCCACATATGTCAGTACAGGTTAAACTGTTTTATTGCACACTTTTTAAATAACATAGTTTTTAATCTTTGGTCTTGGGGGAAGATGTCAGGTATTTTCAAGACAAAAAGCTCAAGTCCAAGTGAAGTTACGAGTCATTGGTCCAAGTCGCAAGTTAGTGATGTGCCGGTCGCGAACGAGCCGGTTCAAAGAGCCGGCTCTTTTAAGTGAATGCTGGGAGCCGGCTCCCAACCGCGAGCAATGTTTTTTTTTGTTGTAAAGTAATACAAGGCAGAATGATGTGATGATCAGCATCGCTACAGGTGCTCTATGCATGCAGTTGGTTTTATTTGTCCAGATGTCATTGGTGGGCATTAACAAAGCAAATCTACTTGAGTCCTGTATTTAATACATTTTTTTTGTTTAAATAAAAAATTAAAATGTCAATAGCTGTTCCTTTTTTTTATTACTATGCTTAAGTTTCTCTGTGTAGCAGAGTGGTTCTACGAGCAAGTTGTTGCATTCATTGGGTGGTTTCAGAGAGTTACAAGGGTCTGTAAATGGAATGAAAACAATTCGCTACAGCAATTTATTTATATTAGAAAATGCCTTTTTTACTTTTGAATACTTCAGTACAAAGAATGTATTAAATAATTGAAGTGATATATGTAGACACATACAAATCATAAGTCAAAACAGTACTAAATTTGGCTGAATTATAAAAGCAGTTTGGGAGCCGAAAGAGCTACACTATTGCAAGTCTTTTTTAATTTTGTCAAGTTGAGTCTAAAGTATTCAAATTTGTGAGTCGAGTTTGCCCCTGTTAATGAATGATATTTAGTAACCCTTTAGGACACATGAAAATGCTTATGGTGTGCATGCACAATGTCGAAGTTCTTCTGTATAAATCAGGACAGCAGGTTTGTTCTTAATCCCGTCTGCATGGACACAAGGACAGACTGCTGAGTGAACTGTATGTTGCTGTTCTGTTCCGCAAGTAAAACACTCGTCCTTGGTCGCTTTCTCTTCCTCCCTGTGTCTCTCTGTGGCATTATGAAAAACATGGAGGAGGGTGGGAAAAAAAATGAGGTGGCACCTTAGACATCATGCTTAAAGGATACGGTTATATAACAGCAATTTCTTATGTAAGACAAAAAAGCTGAAAAGTGAGAAACCCAGGGCAATCCATTGTTATTACTGTCACTGAAATACAATATTCTCTGTGTGTGTCTTTCTATTTGCTGGAAGAGTGTACTTAATCACTGTGTGAATATATTCCACGGTCATCCTCTAACAGGAACACATATTCCTTGTGGAAGGATATTACTTTTTTTATCAATAACATGACTCATATTCCACTCATAATAGATTGATTGGAGTCAGAAAACACAATGGGGATGTAGTTAGCCCATTGTTCCTGAACAGCCTTTAAAGGAGAAAAGAAAGTGTAACCTCAACCTCTAACCTAGTTTTGAAAGACAACTGCTCACACATTTGGATGATTTGGATTATCTATAGTAATAAGAACATTTCTGGAAATGTAAACGCTGTGAGCAGCAAAAGCAACTGATTTCATCTCCATTGTATTGGGAGACTAAATGAAAACATAATAATTTGTCATTTCCTTTAAAAATGCATATTACTAGTTCAAACGATTATTAAAAATCTCTGACTTTTTCTTTTTCATTTGATCTGAACATCTATGGTTACAGTTTAGTTAGGTACAAAACTACTTGGTTAGGGTCAGGGAAAGATCATGGTCATATTTAAAAGAAAGCAGTGTTGACTGTTGTAAGGACTGGACTCCAAGTTATACACTTTGTGGACCCATCCGTTTACCATGACCATGTGGGGGCAGCTGTGGCTCATGAGGTAGAGTGGGTCATTCACTAATCAGAAGGTTTGTGGTTTGATTCCCGGTGTGTCTAACTGAACGGGTAGTGTGGCATGTAAAGTAAGGCACTTTGAATGGTTGGAAGACTAAAAAGGCACTATATAAGTGCAGTCTATTTACCATTTACTGACTCACAAGTCAGTCTGTTAATGCTTCGCTCACTAGAGACTGAGGACTCTCATCTTTTTTTTTATTGCTAAAACTGAGTGGGAACAATTAGAAAGTTTCTTTACCCTATAATAGGCTCTGTTTATCTGCTGAGGGATCAGGTCCTCTTCTATTGATTCTGTCATGTTGAACCACCGTGTTTCTACAGTAGCCCAGAAGGACAAACCAAACACTGGCTCTAGATAAGGAGTTTCACGTTTTTCGCAGCCATAGTAGTTTCTCCTTCACACTTGGTTGAGTCAGTGATTGATTGCAATCTACAACTTCACGCTATAGATACCACTGAATCCTACACTAAGTGATAACCTGTGATCCAAACTGAAGCATGGCTACCACCAAAATTCTAAACACGACCAGAACATCAAATCATTAACACTAACAGGTGTACACATACAGGTTCTTTAATGAAACAAAAACTACATGTGAATGTTTTCAGTTTTAAGCAGCAGGCCAGATAGATTGCATGCAACAGAATAGCCAAGGCTATTGCTGGTGCTAATGGGGATCCTAATAAACAAACAAACAAACAAACCCTGTATTCAGGATACAAAAAAACATAACTGTAACTCCTTAAATATGTAATCACATTACAATTACATTTAGTAATAATTATTACCAGGATTACAATTTTAAAATACATTTAAAGGTCAAGTGTGTAGGATTTACTGGCATCTAGTGGTGTAGATACAGGTTGCAAGGAGAAACTATGGTCACTGTGAAACACACAAAAAACTCCCCTATCTACAGACAGTGTTTGGTCTGTCCCTTCTGAGCTACTGTAGGTTTAACATGGCGGACTCCATTGAAGGCAACCCACTGCTTCTAAAAATGGCTGGTTCTTTAAGGTAAGACAGTGAATATACACAAGTGGTTTCCAACCAGGGGGTTGGGACTCCTATTAATTCAATTCAATTCGGTTTATTTGTATTGCGCCAATTCATAACAGAAGTTATCTCGGGACACTTTTCAAATAGAGCAGGTCTAGACCGAACTCCTTATAACATTATTTACAGAGACCCAACAGTACCAGAGGTATTAAAGGTCATCAAAGCTTAGATCCTCCTAAATGTTACACATGTTAAGTCTTATATAACCCCTAAAAAGTATTGAATTTATTGAAATAAACTCAGCAGAGGATACATTTTTTATGCTTAATATCTTGGTTTCCCTATTTTGTTTTCTATAGTTACACTATTCAGCTGTCTTATACGTGAAAGTCACAATATCTGTATTTATTTTATTTGTTTTTATTTGCATATTTGGATTTGATTTGGTATGATTTCATCAACAATAAACCAAACTCTTCACTTAAATGTGTAAATGTAGGTGTAACTTACTAAAAAAAAGTACAATTTAATAAACAGGTGGTTCAAATCCATCCCGCTGTGGCATATTGAATGCCTGTATGAGCGAATGATGAGCTCCTCTCTGTCTGAGTGTATCTTCATCAGAGAAAGCTCAAGCATTGGCTGTCTCCAGTACACCCCCCCTTCCACCAGCCGTCCAATCAGAGGCAGCAGCAGCCGGCAGAGCTGCCAGTGTGAGGCTGCACTCAGAAACAGAGCAGAGCCCTCTGCATTAGCCCGCCACACTGTCTCAGGTAGGTCCATTAACACACACACACATACACACGCATCCAAAAGTTTGCAAATATCTTGCTTTGTGAGTATAGATCCACACTGCATTATCCACTGCTGTTGCTAAAATGGAAATCACGTCATGTGTTTGGTATTGATGTGGACGGAGTGATGCTGCATGCCTCTCAGCAGAGCAGTTATTGGGTTGATAATATGCTGTGTATCGACTAGCTGCAGTAGTCTGTGATCGTCTGTGTGTGGGCTTAGAGGGTGTGAATAAGCGGTGAGGTTAAACTGTCCTTGTATGGAGTGGATAAACGCCATATTTTTGATGAGATTATATTACGATTCTGACTTGAGATGCTGGTATTATCTGATTGATTAAATACCATTAATGGGTTGACTGGTGGACTAGTAGTATCTAGCCATACAGATAGCTACGGTTGTATTTTTCCAGGTCTGTAGATGTCCGTCTCTGAAATTTTTGCCTCCAGAGGCAGATAACTTTTTTTGTAAATTGGGAAAGAAGCCTGTAAGGTTACATTTTTCTTTCATATGTGTACCGTATTATGCAAACTCCAACAAGTATGTTATCCAAGTTTACCAGTCTTCAGCAAGTGAGGTTGCCAGATACAAAGGTATTCCTGAAGAGCAGCATTTATGTGTGTGTGTGTGTGTGTGTGTGTGTGTGACAGTGCTGGGTATATGTACCCAAGGTGTCTATTTGAAAAACAACGAGAGAAGTTAGTCCTGATGAGTTGATTCATAAGAAAGTATGTCAGTTGACTCATCTCTTTCCACGTATAAAGGGTAAGGTTAATGTTAAAAATCTTGAAATACGCCTAACAAATACAGTGGACAACTCTTTTTTTATCAAATGATACTCAAACAGGAGGACATTTTTGTGCATTTTTTGGGGACTATTTGCAGTGGCAGATTAATCCACATTTGGTGCTCTTGTGAGTATTTGGGCTAACAGGACGGTGTATGTGGGATGGCAACACTTATATAAGGTACACATATTCAGCATTAACTAGCTGCTTTTTAAGATTCATATTAATTCAGTTCAATTTTATTTTATTTGTATAGCACCAGTTCATAACAGAAGTTATCTCAGGACACTTTTCAAATAAAGCAGGTCTAGACCGAACTCCTTATAACATTATTTCGACCCAACAGTTCCCATTATATTAGCAGTATAGTCACTCTTTATTATTTCATTATAAAGCAATAAAGTCTGCAGGACCATATTCTACAACTATTGATAGTAAGGAAGTTGTACATTCTTCAATTACAACCTTTATGTGCTTTAATCAGTATAGGCCTTATAAGGTGGTAGTACCACAAGAATAGTCATTCTCCTTTAATTATGCTTAATAAATATGGTCTATTATTATGTAACAAAACACAAAACATTGTGTTAATAGTGTCCAAATAACAATATGAAGAAGAATCTAATGCAGAACCTTCTAAGGTGAGCTTCTTCTCACAACTAATTCACTATTATGTTGACATTTATTAACGCCAGTTGCTTTCTCTTGACACTTGAATATCCATTATATCACTTTAGAGTTATTCGCAGCACAAATTGAATCTGAAAATTGAATTTGAAAACTGAAATTCAACTTTCAAATTTCAATTTGTGAAATACAATTTAAAACTTTGCATGCAATATTTGGTTTGAACATTTCAAATACAAAACTATTTAATTCGGATTTAATTGTCCTTGCACTAAAATAACTCCATACATTTTGACATGAATAGGGTAAAATGTCATTAATTACACTAATTCGGGTTCTGTTGCATTTAGTGTGGCAGAGCTTTTCCAGCCAGCCAACATGCACAACAGTAGCACCCTGACTCTGTTTGACCTGAAAAGGGTCAACCCTGTTAATATCAAAATAAAGTACAGTGTGTGTGTTCAAGGTAATGAAAGAACATGTCACCCAGTGCAACAGTGTGGCTCATTGATGTATTTTTGGTGGAGAGGAAAATACAGATTATTGACAGCCTTACTTTTCAATTCTTAATGACTGCTTACTACTCATTCCAGTGATGCTTATTTCTTAATAGACAGTGTGAAACGATGGCATTATATTTGCCGTTCAGCCTGAGGCTGTCTTGCACAGACTGCTGCAATGATTGCATATGAATTTTGAGTGTAGAGAGGGATGGAGCCACAGTTTTCAAGGCTTTCACAAACAGAAAAAGAAAATCTTGTACATGTGTCAGTGCCTGTGTGTAGCTGTGATGGGGAGTTGCACAGGCACACTTTGATAGATTTGTATCCCTCGGAGTGAACTTCCACTAATGTCTCTGTTATATTTGTCTTATCTGTTAGACTGAAGCTTTGTATAGTGAATGTAATACTCTCTGCTGCTTTTTGCCAAAGAAAATCTGACAGCCCTCATTTTCCTTTAGTGTTGACAGGTTGAAATATATTCAGGCAGTGCTCTAAGGGAGGGTAAACACACTCAATGAATTAATTCCACCTTTGTGCAGGCTCATGTAAATCTTGATGGAATACATACAGAGGAGAAATTAGTGCTGTTCTGATGCCTTTTGCCTAGCGATGATCACAGAATGGACAGTCTTTTGTTTCCCTGTGCATCACTGGAGAAAGGGCTGAAAGAAGCCTTTCTGTGTGCAATGCAACATGTTGCACAGTTCAAGCTTCCACTGCTGTTACATAAATTCCATACTCATACAAAATGCCCTTCATTTCATTGTCGTCTTTTTTCCAGGATTTAAACCAATCACTCCTCATTTCATGGGGGCCTTGAAGTTGGAGGATAAAAACCTCCTGACAATGCTGGCACGTGTCCATCCTAACAACTTCAACGTGACATTTTTCTGAAGAGCTAAATGTCTCGACTGAGCTTGGAGACTCATTGTTTCCGGAGAAGTGGGCACTTAATGCAAGTGATAATTCACAAGCTTTTCCTGATTTTAGTGACACCCTCACAGAGACAGTCATTCTGATATCTTTCATTTGGTGTATGCGATGGCCCCCCAGTTAACTGTGGCTTTTCTTTACGAGACAACAGCGTCAGTTGCTTGTTCAAATACTTAAAACAACCTTTTTTTTGACAAATATATTTATTGGCATTTTGTTTTGTTTTTTTCACATCAAGAGAAAAAAAATACCCCCCACTGACCCAACCCTGTCCATGTTCTTCACACAAAAAAATTAATAAAGTATACTACTGCTACTATGACAGTTATTAACCCCAGTTGCCTCCTCTTCACACTTGAACATCCATTACACACAACTATTGCAGCCATTTTTATAGTTATTTTAGTGCCAGCACAAATTGAACGAGCTCACATGTAACTATAATATCTACCATACTAAATACTGTAATATACTGTAAAATAATAATAATAATAATAATAATAATAATAATAATAATAATAAGAATAGGGTTGAGCGAGTATTCAGCTGAAACTAGTATCCAGTACAGATAATGTACTTTTTATCAAACAAGTAAACTGTGTCAATATACTTGCTCTGTTAATAGTTCTCCTAACTCTTGTGATCAAAAACATCACTCTGAAAATCAATATTGTAAATAGTTTTCTGAATATTGTAACTTCTGATCAACCCATATCAATTTATGAATACGGCTACAGATACAGATAATTTGGTTTAACAGATACAGCCCTAATAATAAAATAAAATAATTATACTTACATTATACAATAAATGAATCATGATCATGAATATTAGAATTTTATCTGATGTGTTAATTCAGTACATTCTCACTTCATCATCAAATCATCACCAAATACTGCAGCTTGGTCAGTGGCCCTCTGCTTTCAAATATTACGTTGTAGGTATCCTATGGGCTGATTTTTGTGTCAGTAGAAACTACATTTGAATCATTTAGAACTGAATCTGAATTGCTCAACTTGAATAATTGCATTAAAAAAACTGAATCTGAATAGCATAATTTGAATTTGAATTTATTAGTTTGAAACTGAATTCTAATAAACTTGAAACTGAATATAATATTATGAATCTGAATTCACTTGCAACTGAAACTGTATTTGAGCCTCACTAAAAATTCAACTTTTTATGTACTTTCAAATTCAGTTCTCTAAATTCAAATTCAGTTCTCTAAATTCAAATTCAGTTCTCTCAACTCAATTTCAAACCACAAGATTCAACTTTTAAGGTCACAGACGGGTCAAGGTGTTCAGTAAGAGCAATCGAGTGCAGATGCACAGAGCTCCTTTTTGGCTAAGCAGCACGTTTGTTTTGAACATTTCCTGGACCTGTAGACATTGGCTAGCGAAAAACATGCTTAAAGGAGACATATTATGCCCCTTTTCAGGTTCATAATTGTATTTTTTTTCTTAAATTTTATTTTGGTTTCGTGTGTGAACCACTTTGTGTTGGACTGTTTTCACAACCTCGGTCAGTACAACAGTGGACTGACTGAAAGACTGTTCCTGAAAGAGGGATTCATACCAACTGTCTGTGGAGAGACGGCAGAGGAAGTAACTGTAAGTATTTTGAACAATTTATGCTGTTTTTCATTGTTCATGTAATGTTAGCTCATGCTAACTGCTGTTAGCTGCAGGAGCCTCAGTGATGCTAACGTAGTTATTGTTTGTTAAATGTTAAAAGATGAACATGAAACTTATAAAGTGAGGTTAATTTATTAAGCCAGCTGGTGCAGATGTCTCCATATTCTCCCCTGCTGATATTGTTATAGAGATTCACACAAAGTTTATTATAAGTTTATACAGAGAATCACCAAGCTTCGTGCTGGGGGGGGGGGGGGGGGTTGGCTTTATGTTGGTCTGTATTTTGTAGAACCGGGAAGATAACGTCAGATATGTTTAATTGTCTTTAACCTGGTAACTTATTATCTGCTGGGTAGCTCAGTATCTGTTCACCGTGTGGATCAATACAGCTGTGATCAGGAGACACCGTACTGTGTACCATATAAATTCAGCAGCGGAGGTCATTCGTTAGGAGCATTGTAGCTTTGATTAGCACACAGCAGCTCTGTGATGTCACTGTTACTATAGTTACTGAGTCTGTCGGACTTTATGTTGTAATACTGTGATCGTTAACCCTCGTTAGAAACTACCAAAATACCGGGAGTGAGTTATGCTGATTATTTTCTGTTTGTGTAACTTGCTAACGTGCTAACCAGCTGGGGCTAGCTGCGTTATTGTTTTCCAGAGACTGTGTGTGTGTGTGTGTGTGTGTGTGTGTTACGGTGTGTAAATTAACTTGATCTACGTGCACCAGAGTTAACAATAGAGCTACAGTGAGAGAGAAATAGTCAAACTGCAGGGATTCATTAGTTTAGTATTATTCTGTAACTTCGATGCTCTCTAGGTTGTTTTGTGGAGTCAAACCCACGAATAAAAGTTTTCTGATCCATTTATTTAGTGTTACTGCTGTACTGGTATTACTGAAGATATAAGGGTAGGTCCAGTGTAACATCTCATACTCATATAATCTCCTATTGTATTATAAACACTGAGGCTCACTGCTAAATGTCTGTTATTGCACCGGGAACTTGTTCCAACATCAGTTTACAGTCAGTAAATGTCCTGTGTGTGTATCTGCTGCCATTAGATAGACATTGTGTTGGTAACCTCAGACTGTTTCAACAACACATCACTACAGTTAGCTGCAACAAGGAACCCACCAGAGACACTGCTTTATTATTTTAGATTATAACTTAGGTAGGACTACTTTGAGCCACAATGAGCTGCTGTACTTGTATTATATTATACTGTATATTATATTATACTGTATTATATTATACTGTATTATATTATACTGTATATTATATTATACTGTATTATATTATACTGTATTATATTATACTGTATATTATATTATACTGTATTATATTATACTTGTATTATATTATACTGTATATTATATTATACTGTATTATATTATATTACACTGTATATTATATTATACTATATATTATATGCGGTCTTACAAGTAACACTGAATCCGCCTTGTCTTACAGGTGACCTGATGAAGCTCAGGTGTTCCTGGACCCATCAGAGGACAGAGACAGCTGCAGCATCAGGACAGTCTGGGTATCCAAAGGAAGACTGATGAAGATGAACACTGACTGCAGAGCTCCATTACTAGATCACACTTCAGTATACTAGAAACCTAAGATACCTTGATGGAGGACATGATCTGCACAGTTTACATAAAAGTTCTAGCTTTGTTACTTACAACATGTGTAACTGGAATATGACTGAAACATAAATAAAGTGTTTTACTTTTAAGAAGAGTTCTGGTAATTTTTAAATTCAGTAATAAGTGTGGTTTTATATAAATAACATGTTATTTCACAAAGGTTTTATGAAGATTTCCTGCATGTACAAGAGTTGAAAACCTGGTTCGTGTAACATCTATCAATATGAAAATGTGAAATTTAAACCTGTATTAATGACTCTAAGCAACACAATACATTACTGTCTCACATTCAAACTTTATTATGTTGGAAGATAAATGACATCATAATATATCAAATAGAACGTAAAACATAATTGCAGCTTTTACAAATATCTGAAGGTTAACTTTGGTAATAATACTTTCAAGTTAAAATATCAGACTATGAAATATTCAAGTTAAAATATCAGACTATGAAATAGTACAGTACAGTACAGTTGGTTACTGAGCAGTTTTTAAACCACATAAACAAGTTACTTTATTAGATGAGTAAGTAAGTAAGTATTCCAGGCAGGTTTCTGCCTCATTATGTAAGTTTCCATGGTCTCAGTAAACTAATGTGTATAAAGAATATAAAAGATGGGAGGTGACAGTAATCATTATACTATTACTCTGATTACTTTGGTACATTTACTGGCTGTGTCTTCACTAGAAACAACTGCTTGACTAATGTTGTTAATATTATGTAATATATATCCAATCTAATCCAACTTTATTTGTTAAACACTTTAAAACAACCAAAGTTGACCAAAGTGCTGTACAGGAGAATAAATAAGACATCATAAATAAAAGACATAACAGCTCACATGAGGCGCAAAATTACATATAACATACAACAATAAAATTAAAAGACATAAAACATGAGTAAAAATAATAGCCACGCAATAAAAAGCAATCAAAATAAGAAATTAAATCAAGTTAATAAAGTCGACATCTTACTAGGTGTCAAAGGCCACAGAGAAGAGATGGGTTTTAAGACGGGTTTTAAAAACAGACAGAGAAGAGGCCTGTTTAACGTGCAGAGGCAGATCACTCCATAATTTAAGAGCAGGTACACAAAGGCACGGTCCCCCTCTGAGCTTCCGCTAGTTTAGGCACACTCGGGAGCAGCGATCATCTGACCGGAGAGGACGGGTATATAGGGGTGTAGAAGCTCAGAGAGGTAGGGAGGGGCAAACTATAAGGATAATTTAATTAAATGGATCCTAAATTGAATAGGCAGCCAGTGGAGTGAGGCTAGAATGGGGGAAATGTGCTCATGTTTATGTGTGCCAGTTAAAAGACGTGCAGCAGCATTCTGTACCATCTGGAGACGGGCGATGGAGGACCCACTAACCCCAACATACAGTGCATTACAGTAATCCAGCTGAGTGGTAACAAAGGCGTGGATTACCGTCTCAAAGTGCTGCCTTGATAGAATTGGATCTACAGGGGGGTCCCACTGGTGCCACCAAAAACCATCACTTCCTTCTTTTTATCATTGAAATTTAAAAAGTTCAGAGCCATCCAGGCCTTTATGTCGTTGAGAGACTTAAGTAGCAGTCTGACAGAGTATTCAATTTTCTTTTTAAGAGGCACATAAATCTGACTGTCATCTGCATAACAGTGGAATGAAAAGCTGTGCTTCCTAAGTATGGAACCAAATAGAGAGAGAAAAGGAGAGGGTCAAGAACTGAGCCCTGTGGGACCCCACCCAAGAGAGAAGCAGAGGAGAATACAGAGTCACCTAGGCTGACAGAAAGTTCGATCAGCCAAGTACGACCTGAACCACTCCAGTTCTATGCCCCTGATGCCCACCCACTGCTTCAAACGTGAGATCAGTATTTCATGATCCACTGTGTCAAATGCAGCAGTTAAATCTAAAAGCACAAGGATAACACAGTCACCAGAGTCAGTAGCTAAAAATATATCATTAAAAACTCTTAAGAGAGCTGATTCTGTGCTGTGCACGGTTTTAAAACCGGATTGGAAAACCTCTAGGATATTATGTTCTTCCAGAAAGGCCATTAATTGACTGTGCACAATCTTCTCCAGGACTTTTGAAAGGAAAGGCAGTTTTGAGATAGGCCTGAAATTAGCAAGAACTGCAGGATCTAGAGCAGGTTTTTTAATCAGAGGTTGTACTACTGCATGTTTAAAATTTTCAGGGACCACACCTGAGGTCAGACTGCTATTTATGACTGCAATAACAGATGGTCCTACAGTGGAGAACACCTCCTTAAATAGTCAAGGGGGGACAGCATCATTTGGAGAACCTGAGGGCTTCAAATGACCAACAACCTCCTGTAAAAAGGAAAAAGTCACAGGCTTAAAATGGTCAAAGACTTGAGCCCTAATTGAAGTGACCCTATCAATAAAAAAGTGAAGGAAGTTTTCACACACAGCAGGGGACGCCTCCATACAGGCAGTCTGCGGGGCATTCAGAAGTGAGTCAATAGTGTTAAACAAAACACGAGGCTTGTGACAGTTTGACAGGATAATATCCGAGAATTGTTTTCTTTTAGCATCTTTCACAGTTTTCTGATAATGACGCCAGCAGTCCCTTAACATTTGAAAAGACACCTGCAGTTTGTCCTTCTTCCACTTGCGCTCAGCTCTACGGCACTCACATCTGACCACATGAGTTGTGTCATTTAGCCAGGGCTCAGATTTAGTTTTAGGCTGCCTGGATTTTCAATTAAATTCAATTCAATTCAATTTTATTTGTAAAGCGCCAATTCATAACAGAAGTTATCTCAGGACACTTTTCAAGTTAGTAACATGCATTAATGGAACATGAATGAGTGCAGAAAGAGAGAGGAAGGGAGGAGCTCAGTGCACCATGGGAAATCCCCCGATAGTCTAGGCCTATAGCAACATAACTAAGGGATGGTTCAGGAGTCACCATCATTTTAATGGAGCCACAGTGTCTAAAACAGTTTGGCAGGTGGAATGAAACCATGAGCTAAGCTCCTCTGTACTGCACACTGACTCAGGAATGATGGAGTTCTGATTGAAAGCAACCGAGAACTGAACAGCAGTGGAAGAGTTAATAATGCGACAGCGCCAAGCAGCGGCGCGAGGTTTAACTGAATGACAGGCAAGAGCAGCCTCAAATAATACAGGCATATGGTCAGAAAACACTGCGTCACATATCTCTAGGTTAAAAACGGGCAAACCATATGATAAGACAAGATCAAGTGTGTGTCCGTGTTCTTGTGTGGGTCCAGACACAGATTGCACAAGATTAAAAGAATCAATGAGGTTTAAAAAAACCTTTGCCATTGGCTTATCTGGACAACACACATGAACATTAAAATCCCCAACAATAAGAACACGGTCATATTTAGGCATGATTTCAGCCAGGAAATCAGAAAAGTCATTTAAAAAGTCCTTATTGTACCTGGGAGGCCGATAGACCACAGCACACAACACTGTGTGAGAGCGACCAAGCTCAAATAAGCTCAGTTAAAAGCTGGTGGAAGAGGATTGACAGCAATAGCTGCTTACATTTATAATGACTCTTATAGACGGTCGCTATTCCTCCTCCTTGGCCCGACGTCCGCGGGGAGTTAAAGTAGCAGCAATCATGGGGTAAAAGTTCAGTGAAAGCGCTGGATTCACCAACTCTCAGCCATGTCTCAGTCACACAGAGGAAATCCAATCCTCGGGACGTGAAGAAATCCTTTAAGACAAAAGTCTTGTCTCGCTAGTGATCTAGCATTTACCAGGCCAATCCTAGCAGGAACCGGTGGGGCCGCGGCGTTGGCTGTCTGGGGAGCCCGACACAGAGGCCGTAAGTTGCGGTGATTCACCCCGCACCAGCGGGGATGAGGAGAGCAGGGGGTGACAGTTGGGGGTGAGTCCGGTATCTGCTCGATGATTGCAGGGATGTAGGATTTAAACCTCCTCTTCATCATCCTCCAATCCAGTCCAATCCAAATTTATTTGTTAAGCACTTTAAAAACAACCAAAGTTGACCAAAGTGCTGTAGCCGTGGCAGAAAACATGGACGAAGTCCGACGGCGACATGCTGTGGACACGCTCTTTCACAGAGACGTGCCCGGCGTTACACCACCTGTTGTTTATGAGCACGGACAGTCCCCCTCCTTTCTTCTTGACGGTCGCGGTGGTGTCCCTGTCGGCTCGAACCGTCTGGAAGCCGGGAAGGGTGACATTGGAGTCCGGTATCTGCTCGTGTAGCCACGTTTGTAGGGTTTAAACCTCCTCTTCTTCATCCTCCGTTTAACCCCCGCTCTGCAGCCTCGCCGTCTCCTCCTCAGCTCCTCCGGTATGGAGGGTCTCTCTCCAGTCAGGATGCTAGGGTGCCTCAGGGCAATCATCTGGTCGCGGGTGTTAACAATGCGACTCCCCGTCGCCACGGAGACCCGTGTAAACAAAAAATAAAAAGTGCTCAAAAACGCAGAAAAAGTATTTAGGCGACGTGAACAAAGTAGTAAGAAAGTAAGAAAACAGTTAAAAAAACTACAACAAGATAGGAGCTGCCATAACAGGCTGCCCCATTCTATAATATTTTCTTCACTGGGTGTGAAACTTAGTCAACTGCTTACGTGTAAAGACAAGCATTAAACACGTGTTGGTTCTCATAATTAAGGTATAAAATAACTATGTGATTAGGTTAATTATATATATATAATTAATATAGCAGTATTTACCTGAGGAACACATCACAGAAAGCTGTAATCCTGATTGTTGATGTCCGGTGGTGAAGTTTTTGGTTTAGAAGCAGTTATTGAATTAATATTGACGGTAGAAATGCAGCTAACTGCGGGCAATGCTGAGGCAGAAGTGGGAGGGGCCGGAGCGTCATTCCTGTCATCCGCGTCATAATGCCGACCAATCAGAGTAGACTGGGCTTTTCGGGAGGGGGGCCTTAAAGAGACAGGAGCTAAAACCGATCGATTCAGACAGAGGCTGAAAAGAGCTGCTCAGCTATAGGCAGTATGAGGGAAAAAAAGTGTTTTTTGAACATTAAAACATCTAAACCTATTGTAGGAGAGCCACAAAATACAATTATGAACCTGAAAAGGGGCATAATATGACTCCTTTAAGCTTG